AATGTTCCATTCCGACTCACTGCTAAATATTTTAAATTTTTTGTTGCTCTTTTAAAAGCACTTGCCATTTACTTAGCAAAGCCTCTCCATCACCTGCACAGCTTCCCGATCAGGGCTGAGCAGTCAGTGGTGTTTCAAGATGCCTGTCAGGCCTGGAGTCAACTGCTGAGGGGAATTTGAGCAACATGGGTTGACTCATCCTAAAGTTTTTCTCCCTCACTATGGGGGTATTGGAGGCAGGGGGTGAGGGAAGGGAAAAAGAGAGAGATGTGTGATTAGAATGCCCCTGGAGATCAACAAAAAGAAATTGAATTTCCATAGCGACAGGGTAGCGTTTCAGAGCACTTAAAAGAGTTGTTCAGAGTGTGTGTCGAATAAAATTTATGCAGTGATTCCAACGAAATCTGTGGACATGTCAATAGGACGACAGATGTGAAACTGATAGAATTGCCATTTTTAATTCAAAGAAAAAGTTCACAACCGATAACTGCAGTCGAGGACTTACACAGCAGCAACAGCGTTAATACAAGTGGTTTAATATAGAAGGCAAATGCAGGTGTGGTGGAAGACTTGCACATCGGAGATGTACAGCTAATGTGAAGTAATCACAAACAGGCACTTGATAACTTTAGAATGGTGATTAATGTCTGATCAACAAGCAGCTAAGTATTCGAGTGGGTTAAGAAAAGTCAGCGCAACATCAACTCAGCGTACTGATCAAAGCAGAGCTCTTCAAGTTTCAGTTTTACAGACAAGCAGTGCATTTATCATTTAACATTTTACATTTCTCTGCTCACATTATCTTACTGACTCAAGTTTAACCTTCGACTTTTACGTTGAAAGCAACCAGAATGTACCGATATCTACTTTTTCTAAAAAGAAAAAAAAACACATTATTTCTACCAGTGATTGCCCTGCATATTCATTTGCCAGTAAAATAGCTTCATTTGCTCATGAATGCTAAAAACTTACAAATCAATATCAGGCAAACACAAGTTCAGGAGAAGAACATCTAGACATGCCTGAGCTTCATTCCTATGTGTCTGATGATTGGGACCTGTTGACTGTCCTGTAATGCATGTGCATCCTATTTGGGGGAAAATTCTACCTGGTTTAGATTTACTCTATTTAGTTAACATTTCAGAGCATCTTAGAGGAAATTATAGAAAAGCAGTTACAACAACAAGGCTGCATTTAAGAATTTTTCCAATCATGGACGCTTCAAAATGCAATCTGGAATAAATCTACACCCAGATTCAATTTCTGCATTAACGCCTCATTTGAAATGCATTGATCTGCTACCAAAATGTCAATTCACAGTACCCATACTTGACATGTTAATTGAGAAAAAAAACACACTTAGGAAACTCCAAGAGATGACAAGCACTTACCAAGTTAATCAATTATTTACAGCTCTGTTACTGGGTGGTCTCCACAGCTTCAGGTCCATATCCACAGCCTTTTACTGTGACACATGTCTCCTCATCATTAGTCAAACTGAGATTAACCAGGCAGTCCAGGTCTTAAAGTCTGACAGATTATTTCAAAACAAAATGAGCTGAATTTTTAACTTCTGTTGGTGTATACAGCGTGCACCACAGGACACCTTCACACCAAAAATATAATTTGACTGTGAAACTGGGGGGGGGGGGGGAGTGCTACACTCACACAATGTACCTCAAACAATCTGTATCTCCTCACATGCATAACCATAATCATCCTTGCATTTGATATAGCGCTTTTCATGTCTTCTAGACGTCTCAAAGCGTTTCACAGAAAATACTGTAAAAGTGACACAAAAGCAGAAATCGCTGGGAACACTCAGCCGAGTGTTGACTCACTGTCCTTTGTCCATAGATGCTGCCTGACCTGCTGAGTGTTCCCAACGACTTCTGTTTGTGTTTCGGATTTCCAGCATCTGCAGTATTTTGCTTTTTATACTGTAAAGTGAATTGATTGTATATTTGTGGGCGAAAAGGTTGGGATAAGCTTCAAGAATGTTACTCTGTATTTACAGAAGGGGTGGATGGAGAAAAGCACGTACGCTTCAGATCCTTTCAGAAACAATCGATTAAAAGAATCTTCAAAAAATATGAAAAGAAATTGAAATGGGAATGCCGTGCTTACCATTTTCTGGTATTATACTCTAACATTTGGCCAGATATGTTGAAATCTCTATAATTAAAGATGCATTCGTCTCAATGGCTCCAACTATTTTGAAATAGGTGGAGCCCTGTAGCTCAGTGGTTAGAGCACTTGCCTCACAAGCGAGAGACCCTGGTTCGATTCCTGGCAGGGCAAAACCTTGTGCAAGTTTCCTCACTCCACATGCCTGATAATAATCCCTTAAGAAAAAAAATAAATACAATTGGTCACTTCAATCCATGACTGTTTGTGGGAGTCTGTTGTGCGCAATTGGCTGCCGTGCTTTGCCCACAAATGTAGTCAATTCACTTTACAGTATAATCTGTGAAGCACTTTGAAGACGTGAAAAGCACTATGTCAAAATGTAAGGACTATTATTATAGTGTAAGTGATTAGGGCCACACCTCTCCCATTCTTTACAGAATCCCTAGACTAAAGGTTGCAGGCTGATTGCAAATTGGCACCAAATTGTTCAATCTAGATACAGCCTTTCTGTGAAGCATTTTGAGACATTTCAAAAATGTGATAAGGCACTATATCAAATGCAAGGATTATTATTATATTATTATTAGTGTAGCCAATGATTGCCAGAAATGCCTAGATAAAATTTGCCCATTAAATCAAATGCACTGTTCTTTGTAGTCTAGCTTCCCGACATACAGTAGTTGCACAATAGAATCAGGGAGATATACATAATAGTTTTATATCAATGATAAAATCACTGGCATGACAAACTCTGATATTTTATTGTTCCTCACCACATCCCAGAAAAGGCATCACTGTTCTCTCACTCAGCCTCAGCGTCCATTGTTTAATTGTGTGTTAACTGACGACAAACACAAGTCTTACAAACAGTTTTCGAACCATGAGAAATCTGAAGCTAATGAGCCGAGTTGAATCCAACACAAACCAACATCATTTTTGCTAATGGGAGAATAATCTACACTGAAAATTACTGGCCACAAATTCCACGTCATTCTCCTGTTTTGACACTGTTTTGGTAAAAGCTGAAGTAAAGTTTTGCAAGGAGATGACCGTACAATGCTCACTGGAGTGAGATACCAACTTAGAGAAGTGAAGAGAGTGTTTTTCACATTTCCTATGGACACACAACACAACCTTTTAAGACACAAAACAAAAATATTAAATTTGAACCCAATTCTCATCTTCCTACTACTTGATACCAAAGGGTTGACAGAGCAAAACAGATCCCACAAGAGATCTTAAATACTACACTGAAACCATCCATGTATGAGCTTTATTAAGACAATCCAGTAATAAATAATTCAACCATGTATGACACCTTTACATTTTAGTATTCTAAAAACAGAATCTATAAGGTTAGACAGTCTCATAAACATAATCTTAAAACAACCGGTACCTCAACTAACAGGTAAAATTCAGCTGCAGGTCTCCACAAGTTGTCTTTCAATTACACCTTATTGCAACCACATAGCTAGATACAAAAGATAACTAAAAAATAGTGGTGATTAATTCTCATCTCTGTTCATGACCTGCCTTATTCCCACAGTATTTTTCAGGAACAAGAGTTGAACTTGGAACTAGCCTGACATATCCTGGGAAACCATGTATTGGAGATGGAATACACTGGTTTTACACAACATGTTTTGATAAAATGTATGGTGATTTTATTTCTCATATATATATATAGAATATATATATATAAATGTTTTTTTAAAAAAACTGGAGTTTTGAAATCCTGCCCAAAAGGCTGATACTATTTAGCAATAATGTGGTAATCAGCAAGGAAGGTCCCAAGTTAAATCTGTGGCCAAACCCGAATCAGCTAATCTCAACTGGCGACAGTGGTATACAATTCCCAACCTTGTGTAAGAAAAATAACGCATCAGTCGAGGTTCCAACTTGTGAAGCAATCCTACCTTGGAAGCGAGGACAGGGTTAGGCTCAAGCAGTTCTGTGAACAGTCCAACTATACTGCCCAACTACATGAAACGTAATGATCCTTTTCCCCTTTTACCTCTCGGAACTGACCTGACAGAAAGCCAAAGTTGATTTTTTCAAAAATCTTTTTTTTAAAAAATAACTGATGCACGAGTACAATAAATACAATACATACACTGTACTGAAAAATTCCTCAAGAATTGCTCATTCATTACTGCAGATCCTTTGGAGAAAAAAAACCCACGAGTTCAACCCATGGGGGGGTGGTGAGGAGGGGGCGGGGAAAGAAATTTAAAAAAAATAAGTCTCTTGAAAGCGACAACATTGCTGGAATCTTGTTGTCCTCTATGCATTCCCATTGCTTTCAATGACAAGAGAATTCCCAAACTGTTAAGCTGGGCTTTCTGTATGTCACACCTACACACAGAGACCTCTGCTCACAGGCAATAGCAGGTAAGAGCAGTTAGTGTGGCATACATGGATTCTCTGTAGATTAAGCAATAAATTGTCTTTTCCAATTGGGGAAATGCCAGTCTAGTTTCCATTTTGAAAAGAAGTGATTTATTTCAACTCTATTTGTATTTGGACAACCACATCCTCACTGTTGTCACCTGCCCAAACTCAAGTTACCCTTTTTATCCGTAATGACTGTGCAATTCATTGTGCAGGACAAGTCTGAATTCTGCTAGTGAAAAACTGGCCATCAATAGAAACTCCTCTTATTGCTCAGTAACTAATACCTTCAAACCTCCAAACGGTAAAATGCCCAGCACTCAGCTCAACAACTGTATTCCTACCTGGAACTGAAGCCACTTTGTTTAAACAAATTCCAAAAGCACAACAATGCAATTTAAGCAGATTAATCCATGGTACCATATCCTATTGGATGTCTCGATGATGTGAATAAACTGCTATATCAAGTACAAGGATTATTTTCATTGTTAATATTTTATTATATCATGTCAAAAACATGCAAGGCTGCTCATTATTCCACGGTTACTGCCCATTTAATGCATATTTAGATAGGCTAATATCACTGTTCATTAAACAGTCATGTAAGTCCTACGTAAATTATAAATGCCATATTTATGCTATCCATCTTCAGCTCCCAATTATTAAGCGAGGTAAAGCTATTGGACAAAAAAACATAGATAGTTTCTGTACCAAAACAATTTGAATGCGGTACCTTAAACTACAATGTACACCAAATACATTAGGAATACTTCTGCCTATTGGAAGTTTAGCAAATTGGGGAACGCATACTTTTGTTGTCCTCTATGCATTCCCATTGCTTTCAATGACACAGAATTCCCAAACTGTTAAACACTGAGGTTGAGATATTGCACTCGTTGGTAAGTGAAGTGGCTTTGTTGATATGTACTTATAACAGGGAAACTCCAGTAACATTCATCAAAGTCATTGCACTTTGTAGAAAGAGGAATATCACCACCCAGACATCCCACAATATGCATTATCTCTGGAGTTTGTAGTACTTGCAAACAAAAAGTAAATGTTTCGCACTTTAGGTAGTAAGGAGTGAAACTACCTCAACTAAACGAAAGGCTTTGGATTATACAGTGTGTAAGAACGGAGCAAATAAGAAATTGAATGCAAATTTGAAGGCCTGCACCACGGTGCCTCTCCAGTCTTGTTCAATCTTGACGTGCCTTGATCCCGCCGGTGTTTGCTTCGACATGCAGTTGAGGCATCCGATTGCTTTCAGTTCAAAGACTGGCCATTTGCTGCCTAACCTGCCCTCCAGGATTGTGCTGAATTCCACCAGACTTCCTTGCCTCAGGTTGAGCAGAACGTTCTTGAACTCACTGCTGGCCTTCAGTACAATGTCTTTGGTGGCATCGTCCTCCTCCAAGACCTTGCTTATGTTTTTACTGTAAGGCATGCCCACCGTTATTTCAAATTTATATCTTGCAAACATTTTAAGGTGGCACTGATATTTGGTGAGAAACTTAAGGCGACAAAGTTCCTCCTCCTCCAAGGTGACAGATATGGGATCACACTGAGGATAAGGCTCCCCGTACAAACACCTCATCCAGTCACCTAAGAACATCGGAAGCATGTTTATGGCAGACTCGGCGCTGTTGTCGATATCAGTGACGCGAACGTATTTGAATCTCCCCGTCCAGGTAACTCTATGCCCCTCCAAGTGGCCGCAAACCATCTGAACCCGAGCCATGTTAGTCTCCTTCCAGGCACGTGGTCCACACGTGAAGCTGTACTGTTGCCACGTCAGGGTGGAATTATACACATTCATGCCCTCTGACCTATACACATACACCCAGCAGAAAACCACAATGGCGGTCAGCCAGACCAAGATCAGTTTGACTATTGAACTACTCGTCAAGGACTTGAGGAACCCTACCACAGTGAAGGGCGATTTTGACCACATGCGAAGAACGATGGGGATACTGCACAAAATGAGGGTTACAGATATCTTTAACACGTCCATGGAAATGAACCACTTGATGAACTGTATCACAAACATTACTGCAAGCGCAATGGAGAGAATTGGTAGGGCAAAGAGGAACAAGAAATAGCCAATGGATGCCCGAGTCAGACCGATTCCTGTGGATTGCTTCAGGAGTACTAACGCCAATTCGCACCACATAAAGCACACCAGATAAGGAATCAGATAGCAGTAAGTGCCTTTGAATTGCCTCAGTTGTGCCATTCGAAAGAACAAGTAGAACAAGAAAAAATACAACAGACAGGGGATGCCTAGATTCAAAACCAGGACATTGCCTAGAGGGATAGACATAAAGGATTTACTGAGGAGTCTCAGGTAGTACCAGGAATCAGGAAGGGACTCGAGCAAACCCAAAGCCGAGCAGGTTACCTCTGTAATAAGAGCGAATCGTGTGTATGGTTCTGCAGACGTACTCAAGCTCATGTAAGAGGTAATTGTGAAGAAAACTGCAATGACTGCAAGCTCTGAACAGCAAATCCAAGCTCTGTCAGATAAAGGGAAGGAAAGGATCACAAAAAACACAGACAGCATGAAGTGGACGTACGGTTCCAAATGACTCCAACTGAAGTTTACCTCCGCTTGCTCTACATCGAGATTGGGCTCAAAGCGGAGCAGTAAGTCAGTCAATGCCCTGAAATTGTCCCAAGCTTTGCTGTCCTGAAAGACTTTCAGAGTACAGATCACCATGGAGATGAAGGAAAGGTAGAAGACAATCAGAGGGATGACAAAGGCAAAAAAGTTGATTGTCAAGTTGCTAATGATGAAAAAAAAGATTAAGGCATTTATGTGTTGGATTGGCATAATTGTCTGCAACCAGTGGATTCCAGCCTTTGAGGCCATATCAATAAGGTGCTCTTTCACATCCATTAAGGCATAAAGTGGGTATTTCAGGATCTGCAGAGAGTGACAGATAAAATGCATTTGTTTACTATAATAATACAATTAAACGCAACTGTACCTTAAAAAAAATTGTCAGTCATCATAATTGTCTCATCGTGATCATGACTTAGTCCTGAGATGTTGTTAGCGTTCAGCAGCATATGAGCTTTCAAATGGATTCCCACTGTTGTCACCACTGCTCGCCAAAAAGATAGTAACAGGTTGTGCATGTACTACAACCAGGCAGGAATGCAAGGATTTGTCCTTGTAAATCTTGAATTGGGAATCTACTAGTAAGAGAATGAAGTAATACTCAGGAAGAAATCAATAGAACCCAAGACCAGCTAGACAACAATTAACCTTCAGGGGAATCAGCAGAGTGTGATAGTGGATTTAGTTGCAACCCCTTCCCGTCTCCACTCGCTCTATACTGAACAGTTTAACATCCACCGAATAAATTTACGTTGCTACACACCAGTTCAGTGCTTGGATTCAACATCTTGTCAGAGGGAAAATCTCTTAGAAAAAATTGCAATTATGGTTGCTGTAAAATTGCCTCAAAAGCAAAGCACTGGGGTTTACACTTGTAATGGGATCAACAATCTACCACCATTATTGAGATAAATATATGAAGAGTCTCATTTCTGGAACCCATGAGCTAGATTCCCCCTCTCCCCACCCCGCTCCCAGGTTACAGTACTGTACCTTCTGCCTCAGAGGCAGGTCTTCGGGCCCTTTGCCTTGCAGGTCATCATCCTCTCCCTGTAAGAACACGTTAGCTGGAATGATGCCCTTGGCGTATTTCTTTGTGATGTCAACAAAGTCATCCAACATCATGCTCTTGTTACCTGAAACAGTAGCGCAGATATATTTCAGTTGACAGGAACAAAGCTGGATCGTGGAGTCCTGTAGCTCAGTGGTTAGAGCACTCGCTTTGCAAGCGAGACCTGAGTTCAATTCCAGGCAGGGCAAAACCTTGGGCAAGTTTCCTTACTCCTAATAATAATCCCTCCAAAACCAAAAACAATAATAAAATTGGTCATTTTCAATCTACGACTGTTTGTGGGACATTGCTGTGCGCAATTGGCTGCCGCGTTCGCCCACAAATATACAGTCAATTCACTTTACAGTGTGTTCTGTGAAGTGCTTTGGGACGTCCTCCCGACGTAAAAAGCGCTATATCAAATGCAAGGATTATTATTATTATAAGACAACCCCAAATCCAATGCTCACTTGTAACCAATGTGGCTCCAGGCATCTCCCATTCCCCATAAAAAGCAATTATCCTTAAGACAATTCTAAGACATATCTACAGCAGGCTTCAGAAGCTGGGCAAGTGTGACCCTGATCCAAGCCACCTGACCTCCAACTCTCTGTATTCTGGCTTCACTACTGAGTGCCTCCCTGCTACGTATAGGGGAACCTCATTATAAAGCGGCTGTTAAATCCTAACATGCCTGTCTGATAACGAAGTTTCAATAGTCGATTTGACTACTAGCGTCTCGCTTCCTGCTGTCAACCACCTTCCACTCCAAAGGCCAACTTCCGTGTCATCACTTTGCCACCAACAATGCAGGAAGTGACACCGTCTGTGACCTGATGACCCAGACGAAGGCTGTTTTTAATGCACAAAATGGCCGACATCCAGTTATTCACTTCATGGCTGTTTGTGGGACATTTCTGCTAGGTTTGCCTACAAAATACTTCACAAAGCACTTAACACTCACCGTACAGTTAAATCCTGTAAAGCTCTTTGAGATGTTTCGACAATGTGTCACTTCAAAACCAAGGATTAATAAAATAGTCATAAGTAGATCAAATAGGGAAGTTGGAAAAATTTCTTCATACAGAGAGTAGTGGGGATGTGGAACAAGGAGTTGTTGAGGCAAATAGCATAGATGTATTTAAGGGAAGCTGGATAGGTACATGAGGGAGACAGGAATAGAAGGTTACGCTTGAAGGCTTAGTTGAGGAAAGGCAGGAAGAGGCTCATGTGGAGCATAAACACCGGCATAGACCAGTTGGGCCGAATGGCCTATTTCTGTGCTGTATATTCTAATGTCTTCTAATGCAAGGATTATTATATATTTATATTGTTACACTCTATATAAATAAAAAAAGCTCGGAGACAGAACAGGAGGAGTGTTAAACAAACGGGTTTCATTCCTTACTTTGATTGCTGACAAGCCGTTCAAGGACACGCCTCTGTTTTTGTAGTGTTTCTGGAACAGGTCCTGATTGTACCCCACTTTCTGCAGAATACAAGCGACGCAAGTTAACTTACTGATGTGAATTTAAACACTATAAATGTGAGACATGTTCTGGGGTGGTGTACACACTGTCGCAGTCCTTAAAACCGTATCTAATGTGATTCCCGCAGATGCCTTTCTCTTGGAGGCTCGATTATCATACCTTCGGCATTGACATGGCTGACATTCTCCAGGAGTTCGGACACTGCCACCTCTTTCTTTCTCTTTGGATTGAGTTTCCAGTACATGACTAAGGTCGCCTTCCTCACGACTCTCTCAAATTCAGTCTCACTCGTGAGCTGTTTCACATCCTGTTCGTTTTCAGATGTGATGCCTGCAAGTAAAAGTAACATACATTCTGATTTTTACAGGATGGTCACTGTGTGATGTATGTGATGCATGTGTGTGGGGAGAGGGTGGGAAAAGATGGGGAAAGAACACCTATACGGCTACAGCTGCATATTCTCTAATCCAAGCATTTTCTTTACATGTTGAAACAAGTTCTCTTTTCTCTGCAGTCTCCTTGTGTCCTATCCAACAATCTCCCTTACAAAATTGGTGATTAATTTCACGGTTGAATGAGGAAATTGTAAGTATAAATTAGCTGCTGCATTCGCCTACAAACACGATCATTGCATTTTGCAGGAATTGCTGTGAAGTGCTTTGAGACGGTCTCCAACGTGAAAGGAGATAGTTCAAATGCAAAGATTATGATTATTATTAATAATCAGTTTTAGGATTGAATTAGGATGTTACAAAGTGCGAAATAATTTACTTAAATGACAGAGCAAGACGTCATATTTGCTATTTAGTCCCCACTCTTCTTTTGTAGGGAAAGAAAGTGCTTTGTGAGTGCAACAAGCATAGAACATCAAATCACAGAACTAAACTATTATAAAATAGTTCCTAGCAGAATATTGAAGTATCAGACTACTTTCACAGCTGTATAACCTATATACCCTGCTAGTCATATTGGTTGGGTGGGGTGAAGTGTTGATTCATTCTGGAGGTAAGTGAATTCCAGCAATCAACATTCCCTTGGGATTAGAAGATGAAAAGGAGTCTTTTAATACTTCCCAACTTCATGAGTAAACTAAATTGAGCACGACATATTCTAGAATGGTGCAGCTCATTAGATTATTTAGATACACATGCTCATTTCCAGGCTAGCTGCTCACACTAATAATAATATATTAATCTGTGCATTCGATATAGCGCCTTTTTACGTTGTTGAGATGTCTCAAAGCACTTCACTGGATATACTGTAAAGTGCAGTGACTGTATTTTGTGGGCAAAGTGCAGCAGCCAGTTGTGCATAGCCATGTCCCACAAACAGCCATGGAGTGAGTGACCAATTTTATTTGGGGTATTGCTGGCCAGGACACCATGAGAAACTCCCTTCACTTTTTGATTAGTGCCATGGGATCTTTAACATCCACTTGAACAAGCAGACGGGACCACAGTTTAATGTCCCAGCCGAAGGATGTATTTCTATATATAACTGTACTAATGCACATTACTGAATATCATCTTCCTGCTCCTAGGTTGTTGTCAGACACAGACATCTAGTCAAGGACAAGATCTCACATTGTGCAGTTGGGGGTTAGAGGAAGAAGAGGGAATATACTGATATTTGTTTCAACTGAGGAATGGGCAGCAAGTCCGTGCAGGTATATGGGGTGGGTGTTCCGGAGAAGAAACACCACAACAGGAAAATTTAAAAAGAAAACCTACCTTTCCTTTCCATAAGGCATTTCTTTAGCAGCTTCACTGCTTCCCTCTTGCCCTGTTTGGCTGAGTGAATCAACCAATTTACAGCCATACAGTTGTTCAGCTCCTCATCAGTTTCCTCAGCCAGCTTTAGGTAATATTTACCAACCTAACATCAAAGCAAAACAAAAAGAACAGACCAGCTGTTACCATCTGTACGTCACAGCCAATCCGCGATAACGAAGAGGTTTGCCTACTGTTCACAATTTCAAACATTAACACTAACATGCTGTGGACACGGTTCTGATCTGAAAGTTACCCAGATAACTACAGTAAGAAACTAATTTGAAGAGTAAAGCATCGTGGGCAGGAAGAAGTTTCCAGCACATGCATTTTATTTTTTGAGTAAGTGAATTGAGATACACATTTATAATTTACCTCTTGGGATTTTGAAAACTAAAATTGTCTAATAGGCTAGGACTGCTTAGAAGTTCAAGCCAACTGTCTAATCATACACTGCAGTAGCACTGTACCTCTCAGATGTGCCTGAGAGCTCAGTGGTTAGAACACTCGCCTCGCAAGCGAGAGACCTGGGTTAGATACTCAGCAGGGTGAAATGTTGGGCAAGTTTCCTTACTCCACACGCCACTGTTTACCTAGCAGTAAGTGGAAACCTGGTTGTTAGTCGATTGGCGGATCGCTTTCCGGGGGTAATAATCCCTTCAAAAAAACATAATAACTTGATCACTCAATCCACGACTGTTTGTGGGACACTGCTGTGCGCAATGGCTGCCACTCTTCACCCACAAAATACACAGTCAATTCACTTTACAGTATATTCTGTGAAGCGCTTTGAAACATCTCAATGACATAAGGTGCTATATCAAATGCAAGGATTATTATTATTAACAGAGAGATCCTGTCTGTTCATTCAGGTGGATGTTAAAGATACCATAAAAGTGTTCAAAATGGGGAGATTCTTCCAATGTTCTGATCGACAATCCTTCAGATACATTTGCTATTCCCTTCCTGCCTTTGTAGGACCTTACGGTGCAAAAAAAATGATTGAGTGTTTACTTACAAATATAGTCACCACATTTAACAGCAATTGACTGTGAATTAACTATGAGAAATTTTGACTTTATGGGTGCTATGTCAAATGCAATGATTATTATAAATAACTATAGAAAAAAATGTGGTAGCTGTATTGTACCATTATAATAATCCTTGCATTTCATGAAAGCGCCTTATCACGTCTTTTAGACATCTTAAAGAGCTTCACAGAATATACTATAAAGTGAAGTGACTGTGTATTTTGTGGGTAAAACACAGCAGGAATTGCACACAGCAGTGTCCCACAAACAGTTGTGGATTGAATGATCACATTTTTTTGAGGAATTATTAACCCCAGAAAGCGATCCACCAATCAACTAACAACTGGGTTCCAACTTACTGCGAGGTAGACAGGCATGTGTGTGGAGTTGGGAAACTTAGATTTTGCACCGCCCGGGAATCAAATCGAACCCGGGTCTTCTCGCTTATATCAGCTTGTTATGAAAAATAATACAAGGAATTACTTTCTAGGCCTGTACAAACTATTAGGGCATGGCTATAGATACAGCAAGAACTCACTGAACCTTACGTGAAGAGTTTTTTTTTACAAAACACTTAAATATTTTACCTTTCATGCCTTAAGCCATTACTGACGAACAGATATTTAATGGACACACCTTAATTTCTGAACTAAGAACAAGCAGGAGGGGATGTGGGAAGACCATTTAATGCAAGAATATCCGCCAGAACACTTTTAAAAGGGAAATGTCCTTATGTTATTCTCCCCCTCCCTCCCGGACACATACACTCTTTAACCCCACTTCTGCCCATTCGATAAAGCATTAATGAGCAGTAAAGGGCACGATCCACCTCAGTCTGTGACTTTGCGTCACCATATCTGGCTTTTTCTTCTTCTTCCTCAATTGACACTTCGGGTTCTTCATTGAACTCTTCTGCCACAATGCCTGAGAACAGAATTAAATAGTGGATGAAACAGTTAGCACTGAAATAATGGTGGTGCAACCAAAACATAAATCACAAGCGTGCAGTAGAAATCATTGACCAGATTCACTTTATGTGCAGTAGCAGCAAATGCAGATTTGTTTCAAAAGAAAACCGGAAAACTTGCGAAATACGACTTCAATGAACAGTACATTTCAGCTTTGTGTGTCATTTCACCACTAATGTTTTAAAAACCCAGAATAGACCCCTTCATTTCCTTTCCACATATCTTACTTCCTTCCCTTTTTGCTCCTTTTCTGAAGCAGCTACTATGCAGTGGGACTACAATAACAACATGCACTTATATAGCGCCCTCCATGCAGGGCAGCGTCTCAGAGCGCTTAACAGTGGCGGAGCCTGACTCCAAGCCGGGGGGAGTTGTCTGTAAACATGGTCGAAGAATGTTTTCAGGCGGGACTTGAAAAAAGGGAGAGAGGGGGCAACGTGGAAGGATTGAGGGAGAGTGTTCCAGAGTTTCGGGGTGTAGTGGTTGAAAGCACGACCTCCGATGGTGGGGTGGAGGGTGCGAGGCACGAGCAGGAGGCCAGTGCCAGTCGAGCGGAGGCGCCGGGTGGTGGATTGGGGAGTGAGGAGGTCGAATGGATTTGAACATGATTGTGAGCATCTTGAAGTCGATCCGTTCAGTGATGAGGAACCAGTGAAGCCTGGCCAGAACCTGTGAGATGGGGGTACGGAGTTTGGTCCGGTTCAAGTATGCGGGCGACAGAGTTCTGAATGAGCTGGATTTTTTTTTGAATGGTGGAGCTGGGGAAGCCAGTGAGGAGTGCGTTGGAGTAATCCAAGCGGGAGGTGACAAACACATGCACAAGGGTTTCTGCTGCATTTGGGGTAAGGTATGGTCGGAGGCAGGTAATAATAATAATAATAATCCTTGCATTTGATATAGCGCTCTTCACGTCGGGAGGACGTCCCAAAGCGCTTCACAGAACACACTGTAAAGTGAATTGACTGTATATTTGTGGGCGAACGCGGCAGCCAATTGCGCACAGCAATGTCCCACAAACAGTTGTAGATTGAAAATGACCAATTTATTATTGTTTGGGGTTTTTGGAGGGATTATTATTAGGCGTGTGGAGTAAGGAAACTTGCCCAAGGTTTCGCCCTCTGCCTGGAATTGAACTCAGGTCTCTCACTTGCAAAGCGAGTACTCTAACCACTGAGCTACAGGACTCCACAATGTGGCGGAGGTGGAGGAAGGCGGTCCTGGTCAGGGAACAGATGTGGGGGAGGAAGGACAGCTGGGGGTTGAAGCGGACGGCTAGATTGCACACTGGTTCAGTGAGTCTGAGGGAGAGGCCAGGGAGGTTGAGGAGTTTAGATCCGCAGGAGTGAAGACGTTGATGGGAGCCAAAGAGTATAACCAAAGAGTATACCGCAGAAAGGTATTTGGAAAGAGATTAAAGGAGAAAATACAATTTCAGAGCAAGCGCCATTCAATTGCTGTTCCTAGTTTGTGTCAGCAAATGTCCACATTCAGCTGCAGGAAGTTTACACTCATCCAGGCACTAATGTCTGCCAGACAAGCTGATAGAACATTGGTGGACCTGGAGTTGATGCTGGAGGAGGCAAAGTAGATTTGTGTGTCATTCACATACATGTAGAAGTTTATCCCGTGTCTGCAGATGACATCACCAAGAGGGAGCATATAGATGAGGAAAAGAAGAGGGCCAAGAATGGAGCCCTGGGGCGGGGCCGGGAAGGGACATAATTTGCCAAGATGAATGGAAGCGGTTGGTTAAGTAGTACCCGACAGAGAGATCCAGGAGGATGAGGAGGCAGAGGGAGCCCTGGTCACAGATAGAGAGGACGTTGTTTGTGACTTTGACAAGCGCTGTCTCTGTGCTGTGGGCAGGGCGAAAACCAGACTGCAGGGGCTCGAGGAGGGAGTGGAGGGAGAGCTGGGACCGAAGTTGACCTGTCACAATGTGTTCCAGGACTTTAGCAAGGAAGGGTAGATTGGAATGGGACGGTAGTGTGAGAGATTAGAGGGATCGAGTGTGGTTTTTTTGAGGAGGGGTGTGATAGCAACAGTTTTCAGGGGGTGCAGAACAGAGCCTGCGGAGACAGACTGGTTGACCGTGTTCGGCCAGCAGGAGGGAGAGGAGGGAGAGTTGAGTGGCCAGCAGCTGGGTGGGGCGGTGGTCGAGGTAGCAGGTGGTGAACTTCATGCAGGTGATTGTGACTGTGGATGGAGAAATGGGGGAAAGGAGCGTAAGGAGCGGGGAGGGACAGGATCTGTGGCAGAGGGAAAAGGCGGTGTGGATGGTCTGGGTGGAGTGGAAGGCGACATGGGAGGGGGAAGGATGATGCAGCTAAGGCGATGGTTTCAATCGATGATTAGAACATTCATCTCGCAGCCACCAAACAAAACTATCCCACCCCACCCACACACTCTTAACAACTAAAGTTCCTGATCTCCGTTTTGGCTCTTGGCCGCAGAAAGGTATCTGGAAAGAGATTAAAGAAAAAGTACAATTTCAGAGCAAGCACCAATCAATTACTGTTCCTAGTTTGTGCCAGCAAAATGAAAACTTTCTTTTGCAGGAATCCACCTAAACCCAACTTGGTAACTAGAAAACTGCAGTTAATTATAACGTCCAGTGGAAATTTGGCATTTTCTGTTAATGTCAAAGATAGTAATGCTACAAAAATAGAGTCAAAGTGAATGATAAAGGATGCCCACAAAATATTTCCTGTGACTATCATAAAGTTTTAAAATGCCCAAATGTTCTACTGCCTTAAGTCAAACAGCATGAATGGGAAAATCTGAAAACAGAATAGCATTTTTTTGCTGTTTCGAAGGAGAAGTGAACAGGGAGGGTGTCAGTCGACATCTCTTTGATGTCAACCTGCCTCTCCTGCCTCTGGGTCAGAAAGTTGAGGTTTAAACCCCATGTCAGGACTTGGACTAACGTGGTCTCAGCTGACACTCCTCTGCAGTCCTGGGGAAGCACTGCATTGGCTGTTCAGGTGGATATTAAAAATCCCATGGCACTATTCGAAAAGAGACGTTTCTCCCAGTATCCTGCCAACAACCCTCCAGAAAGAGAAACAGATCAAGTACAGAGAAAGAGGGCAGATTAACAAAAAGAGAAACAGAAAAAGACTAATACAGCAAGAGATAAAGAGCTTATTGTATTTTTATTAGGAAAGGAACAACTACTGACCTTTAACCACCATGAAGATGTAAGGGATAATTTGGGTAATGATAAGCTGAAGCAAAAGGCTCAACGCCCTTTACTTATAAATATTGCAGCTCCTCCAATAGCTGTTAGTTTTGCAATGCTAAACGCTGATTCTGATCCATTTCACAATCGTCAAAAGATTCCTTGCCACGTACAGCAACTCGGTACGAGCCCTACTGAGCAGCATTTGATGAGCAGATCAGTAGAAATTGCAACTCGTGAAATCACAGAAGAGTTGAAGTTCAACACTTAGCAAGTATAATTCTTGGGATATACAACGTTACATATCGAGTACTTTTCAGCACTCTGAGATGCTATGAAGGGCGCTATATAATTGCAAATTATTGTCATGCAGTCTTAAGCTGGAGTAAAAATCATAATAACCTCAAAAACTCTTGAAAGCAAAGAGTTAACAATAATCTGTGAAGGAGACAACAACCAAGAAGTTTCAGAATATTTCACAGAGGGCGCAGTCTATATTTTACAGTACAAACCGGGAATGTCTAATAGCCAGTGAGTCATATGGCTGGAATCTCCACTCAGAATTTAAGCACATTTCAGCAATGACACCATGCACTAATTGTAATGACTTCGAGTTCAGATTGTTCATCAATAGTTATAAGCTAGAATTGTGAAATAAACCATAAACAACAAATGTAGAATCTCCCCACTCTGAAAAAANCACACAAAATGTTCCTGGGAATTATTCAGTGAGATGCATCCAAATACGGTAACGTTGAAAAGCAGATACATACAGACAGGTCACTGTAAACTGAGCTGTGAGCAGGTAGAGGATTGTTGAAGAAAAGGGATGACACGTGAAGAGATGTGGAGGGAAGCGGAAACAGCTGGTCAAACACTTTTTAATTTTGCACAAAAAGTTGACTTGGTCGGTTAAATGTTGAATGAGCCTCAAAGCACTTTGCGACAATTACCGTCAAGCGCGGTGACTATTCTGGCAAGGAAAACGATCACTACACTTAAAAGAAACTGAACAAAATAAAGAGACTGGACAAAGGACGTCACGTCTCATGCGAGGAAAGAGATTCAGCAGAGACCTTTATCTCCTCCCTTCAGATAGCAGTGGTTCTGTGGGAAGGAGGGCAGTGTAGGTCACTGGTTCATGAGTGCAGATGTGGAACAGATGAACATTCTGAAGGTTTTGCTCCACAATCTTTGGCACTCAATTAACTTGGTGATGATTTACTACTTTTATCATGTGCTTTCTGGGATCTATCTGGCTGCAGCGAGGCTGATTCCAGACACAGGGAAATGTCCACATGTAGGCGGCATGTATGAGGAGCTGTCAGTCTGGTTTGGATAATCTTAAACAGAATGATGGGCTGCGGAAGGCTGCCCAGAAGTTGTCCATATCGCTCTCTGTGCAAAGCAGCCTGCGAAGAGTGGGGGCTATCTCTGTGACCAGGGGAAGTGGAGTTAGAAACACACAAAAGAAAGATGTAACTTTGAAATAGCTGGAGTTGTCGTAGAGGGTCAGAGCACTTTCCAGTGGAATCGATATCGATACACAAATACATACAGGGGTGAGGGAATTTACCTCCAGTAAGAAAATGACCATTAAAAGTGAAAGAGGAGTAGTGGGTAATATGATTTGGATTCTGTCTGTTGCCTAGTATATCTGTATAAGGTATACACTGTAGCTGATTTATCTGTTCAAACCTTAATAAAACCCACATTTGAAAATAATGTGGGTGTCAAGTAAATTTGTCAACCTCCTGGCTGGCTCGCCAATTTGTTGTAATGCATGTTGAGGCTCTGCAATATGCTGCCAATAGACCACACTCACTGCAGTTGGATCTCAAGAGGGTTAATAAAATTGCAGATCAACACAAACAACAAGAAGATTACATTTGTATAGCGCCTTGGGAGGACGTCCCAAGGCGCTGGTCAGTGTAAAGCATTTCAGACCCGAGCTGGGGTCAGGGGGTGAGAAGGGAGGGGAGGGGAAGGGGGGTGGCCGATGGCATGGTCGAAGGGGAGGGTTTTGAGGCGGGAAATGAAGGAGGCTAAGGAGGGGGCGAGGTAGTGACTGGGGGAAGGAATTCCAGAGGTTGGGGACAGAGTGGCTGAAGGCTCTCCCGCCAATGGTGGTTCGGGGGACATGGAGCAGGCCGGAGTAGGCTGAGCGGAGGGAACGGGCGGGTTGGTAGGGGGTTAGGAGGTCGCAAAGGTAGAGTGGGGCGAGGCCATGGAGATACAAAGATCTCCATGATACAAAGATACTGCTCCTCGAGTTAAACGGTTTGCTAAATGGCATTACCCGGCGAGGACACTCGGATTGCTGCTCACCGGCGAGCGATTTAGGATAGGCTGACCCTACGTCCCCGATTTCCGGGGACAGTCCCCAGATGAGGCATTGCGTTCCTAGGGCTGTATTTGCACTGTCTTCAATTCAACCACAATCTGAGCAAGAAAAATAACATTCTAAAACAGATCCACTCGCCAGAGAAATATAAGCCATTAATCTGACAAGCTTCTCCAGCGCTGCCAGCATCAGGAAGTGTGTCAAATTAGATTTTTTTTCACATACACGTATATGCCTCTGGAGTTTGTTATCAAAATATGGTCACCTTAATGATAATAATCCTTGCATTTGATATAGCGCTTTTCACGGCTTCTAGACGTCCCAAAGCGCTTCACAGAATATACTGTAAAGTGAATTGACTGTATATTTGTGGGCGAACGCGGCAGCCAATTGCGCACAGCAGTGTCCCGCAAACAGTCGTGGATTGAAAATGACCAATTTATTATTGTTTTGTTTTCGAGGGATTATTATTAGGCTCTGTGTGGAGTAAGGAAACTTGCCCAAGGTTTCGCCCTGTCTGGAATTTAACGCAGGTCTCTCACTTGCAACGCGAGTGCTCTAACCACCGAGCTACAGGACTCCACCTTACTTTTAGGAGATGACCACAGTTTGCCGCAAGCATTAACTGCAGTATTCCCACCCCAGTCCTGGCCAAAGAGGCGCAAGTGCGTTAAAAGAGGTAGGGGGAGGAATGATAACACCAACAACACATGACATTTCTAATAGCACCTTCCACATCGGGAGGACGTCCCAAGGTGCTGGACAGTCAGGGATTTGCACCCGAACAGGGGGAAACGGGATCAACAGGGGTGGAGGGCGGGGAGGGTGACCAAAGGCTCCGACACACAAATAAACAACTTGCATTTCTATAGCACCTTTCACACAACCTTAAGCGCACGCGTTGGTGGCTACGGGAAGCAAGCGCTGGGGCGTTGGGGGTACCTTGCAGCCTCGCTCAACAAGGGGAGATGGGTGGGGGGGGGGGGAGAGAGGGGCAGGGGAGTGAGGGGGGGAGGGGAGTAAGGGGAGGGGGAAAGGGAGAGAGGGAGGAGAGAAGGGAGGGGGAAGGGGAGAGAGAGGAGGGGTGGGGGAGAGAGAGGGGAAAGGGAGAGGGGGGAGGGGAGTAAGGGGGGGGGAAAGGGAGAGAGGGAGGTAGAGAAGGGAGGGGGAAGGGGAGAGAGGGGAGGGGGGGGGAGAGGAGGGGAAAGGGAGAGGGGGGTAGGGGAGTAAGGGGAGGGGGAAGGGAGAGAGGGAGGTAGAGAAGGGAGGGGGAAGGGGAGAGAGAGGATGGGGGGGAGAGAGGGGGGGGGAGGGGAGAGGGGGAGAGAGGGGTTGGGGGTGAAGGGGAGAGAGGGGGGGGAGAGGAGGAGGGGAGAGGGGGGGTGAGGGGAGAGGGGGAGACCGGTGGTGGGGGGGAGAGGGAGAGGGGAGGGGAGAGAGGTGGTGGGGGGAGAGAGGGAGAGGTGGGGGAGGAGAGGGAGGGAGAGGTGGGGGAGAGGAGGGAGAGGGGGGGTGAGGGGAGAGGGGGAGACAGTTGGTGGGGGGAGAGAGAGAGGTGGTGGGGGGAGAGGGGGAGAGAGGTGGTGGGGGGGAGAGAGAGAGAGAGAGGGGGTGAGGGAGAGGGGGAGACAGGTGGTGGGGGGGAGAGGGGAGAGGTGGAGGGGGAGGGGAGAGGGGAGAGGAGAGGAGAGAGGGGAGAGGAGAGGAGAGGAGAGGGGAGAGGAGGAGGGGAGAGAGGGAGAGGAGGAGGGGAGAGGGGAGAGAGGGAGAGGAGGGGAGAGGTGGGGGAGAGGAGAGGGAGGGAGAGGAGAGGGGAGAGGGGGAGACAGGGGGGGGGGAGAGGGGGAGACAGGGGGGGGAGAGGGGAGGGGAGAGGGGGAGGGGGAGGGGAGAGGGGGAGAGGGGGAGACAGGTGGGGGGAGGGAGAGGGGAGAGGGGGGGAGAGGAGGAGGGAGGGGAGAGGGGAGAGGGGGAGAGGAGAGAGGAGGGGGGGAGAGAGAGAGGAGAGAGGAGGTGACCGTCAACACGACTGTGTATAAAACCGGGGATTTGCAGAAGACGGGCGAGAGAGCGGTCGACCCCCACAGTCACTGACCGTGCGGTGCGGGTGCGGGGCTCCCGGGGGGCGGTGCGGGTGCGGGGCTCCCGGGGGGCGGTGCGGGTGCGGGGCTCTGTGCGGGCGGTGCGGAGCTCTGTGCGGGCGGCGCCCCCCCGGCATTCAGCTGTGACTTGCCCGGCACTGGCACTGGCACTGGCCTGGGGCTGGTGCTGGTCCTGGTGTTGGGGCTCCATCTCCAGCCCTCGGGTCCCGGTTTCCCGGAAAAAAAGTCTCTCCTTTTTTTTTCGGCGAAAGTTATATATGTGTTTTTTTTTAAAAAAACAAAAAAAACAACAACGACAACAACGCGCAGGTCCTCCCCCTCCTCTCCGCACTGCCGCTCCACTGCCACTCACAGCCCCACTGCCACTCACAGCCCCACCCCCTCCACTGCCACTCACAGCCCCACCACCTCCACTGCCACTCACAGCCCCCTCCTCCACTGCCACTCACAGCTCACCCCTCCACTGCCACTCACAGCTCAGCTCCACCCCCCCCACTGCCACTCACAGCTCAGCCCACCCCTCCACTGCCACTCACAGCTCAGCTCCACCCCCTCCACTGCCACTCACAGCTCAGCTCCACCCCCTCCACTGCCACTCACAGCTCAGCTCCACCCCCTCCACTGCCACTCACAGCTCAGCTCCACCCCCTCCACTGCCACTCACAGCTCAGCTCCACCCCCTCCACTGCCACTCACAGCTCAGCCCCACCCCCTCCACTGCCACTCACAGCTCAGCTCCACCCCCTCCACTGCCACTCACAGCTCAGCTCCACCCCCTCCACTGCCACTCACAGCTCAGCTCCACCCCCTCCACTGCCACTCACAGCTCCACCTCCTCCACTGCCACTCACAGCTCAGCTCCACCCCCTCCACTGCCACTCACAGCTCCACCTCCTCCACTGCCACTCACAGCTCAGCTCCACCCCCTCCACTGCCACTCACAGCTCAGCTCCACCCCCTCCACTGCCACTCACAGCTCAGCTCCACCCCCTCCACTGCCACTCACAGCTCAGCTCCACCCCCTCCACTGCCACTCACAGCTCAGCTCCACCCCCTCCACTGCCACTCACGCCCCCACCCCCCTCACTGCCACTCACAGCTCAGCCCCACCCCCTCCACTGCCACTCACAGCTCAGCTCCACCCCCTCCACTGCCACTCACAGCTCAGCTCCACCCCCTCCACTGCCACTCACAGCTCAGCTCCACCCCCTCCACTGCCACTCACAGCTCAGCTCCACCCCCTCCACTGCCACTCACAGCTCAGCCCACCCCCTCCACTGCCACTCACCCCCCCCACCCCCTCCACTGCCACTCACAGCTCAGCCCCACCCCCTCCACTGCCACTCACAGCTCAGCTCCACCCCCTCCACTGCCACTCACAGCTCAGCCCACCCCCTCCACTGCCACTCACAGCTCAGTCCCCCCCACTCACAGCTCAGCCCCGCCCCCTCCACTGCCACTCACAGCCCAGCCCCACCCCCTTCACTGCCACTCACAGCTCAGCCCCACCTCCTCCACTGCCACTCACAGCTCAGCCCCACCCCCTCCACTGCCACTCACAGCTCAGCTCCACCCCCTCCACTGCCACTCACAGCTCAGCCCCACCCCTCCACTGCCACTCACAGCTCAGCTCCACCCCTCCACTGCCACTCACAGCTCAGCCCCACCCCCCCACTGCCACTCACAGCCCCACCCCTCCACTGCCACTCACAGCCCCACCCCCTCCACTGCCACTCAGAGCCCCACCCCCTCCACTGCCACTCACAGCCCCACCCCCTCCACTGCCACTCACAGCCCCACCCCCTCCACTGCCACTCACAGCCCAGCTCCATCTCTCCACTCCACTTCAAGGACCATCTCAAGACCTTCCTCTTCCTTTGGTCGCCCCCCCCCCCCCCCCACCATCACCCTCCCTGCCCTCCACCCCTCCCGATCCCAACCCCCAGCTCGGGTGGAAACCCTTGACTGTCCCGCGCCTTGGAACGTCCTCCCGACGTGAAAGGCTCCAAAACAACGACAAAACAACATTTGTACAGCTCGAGGCAGAGGGATTGTGTGGAATGGAGTTCCCGAGGGTGGGGGCAGACTGGCTGAAGGCCTGGCCGCCCATGTTGGGGAGGGTGAGGGCGCAAGCGGACAGGAACCCGCTGAGCGGAGTGAGTTGGCAGGTTGGTAGGGGGTTCGGAGGTTGCAGAGGTAGGAGGGAGCAAGGCCACGGAGGGCTTTGAAGGTGAGGACCAGGATATTGAACTGTATCCTCTGTGTGATGGGAAGCCGGGCAGGGATGGGGGTGACAAGCGGGGAGTTCGCGTAGTCAAACCTGGATGTTATGAATGTGTGTACGAGGGTTTCGGCGGCCCACGGTATGAGTCAGTGGTGGAGTCGGGCGACGTTGCGGAGGTGGGGGAAGGCAGAGCGGGTCATGGCGGAGATGTGGGGTAGAAAGGATATTTGAGGGTCAAACAAGACCCCAAGGTCCCGGACTGGCTCAGTGAGGTGGAGTGTGCAACCGTGGATGGTGATGCTGTCAGCGCCCGAGGTGAGGAGGCGCTGACGGGAGTCATTTAGGAGAGCCTCGTTATTTGTGGAGTCCTGTAGCTCAGTGGTTAGAGCACTCGCTTTGCAAGTGAGAGACCTGAGTTCAATTCCAGGCAGAGGGCGAAACCTTGGGCAAGTTTCCTTACTCCACACAGAGCCTAATAATAATCCCTCCAAAAAAAAACAATAATAAATTGGTCATTTTCAATCCACGACTGTTTGTGGGACATTGCTGTGCGCAATTGGCTGCCGCGTTCGCCCACAAATATAGTCAATTCACTTTACAGTGTGTTCTGTGAAGCGCTTTGGGACGTCCTCCCGACGTGAAGAGCGCTATATCAAATGCAAGGATTATTATTATTATGAAGTGTAATTTTTTATTGTTATATGCATGTCCCTGGTTGTACAGCCCATGTTGTGTGTCCGCTGTGAGGTGATTGCTGGGGAGATGGGGTTCGGTGTGTTCTCTGTCCGCAATTGTGTTTAAAACAAATCGAAACCCAATAAAGTCAGAAAAATCTCAAAACACAAAACAGTGCCGTGTTTATTATCTTAGGGCGTTCTTCTGACTTGAAATGCCCGATATAAATGCAATTTATGGTTGTTTTTTTTTATTTTTTGTGATTGGTGTGGAATCTATCGCTCGCTGTTTCCCCCCCGGGGGTCCTGGTCTGGAATCTCTCCCTCTCTCCCCCCGGGGGTCCTGGTCTGGAATCTCTCCCTCTCTCCCCCCGGGTCCTGGTCGGGAATCTCTCCCTCTCTCCCGCCGGGGGTCCTGGTCTGGAATCTCTCCCTCTCTCCCCCCGGGTCCTGGTCGGGAATCTCTCCCTCTCTCCCGCCGGGGGTCCTGGTCTGGAATCTCTCCCTCTCTCCCCCCGGGGGGTCCTGGTCTGGAATCTCTCCCTCTCTCCCCCCGGGGGTCCTGGTCGGGAATCTCTCCCTCTCTCCCCCCCGGGGGGTCCTGGTCTGGAATCTCTCCCTCTCCCCCCGGGGGTCCTGGTCTGGAATCTCTCCCTCTCTCTCCCCGGGGGGTCCTGGTCTGGAATCTCTCCCTCTCTCCCCCCGGGGGGGGTTTCCGGTGTGGAATCTCTCCCTCTCTCCCCCGGGGGGGGGTTTCCGGTGTGGAATCTCTCCCTCTCTCCCCCCGGGAGGGGGGGGTTTCCGGTGTGGAATCTCTCCCTCTCTCCCCCCGGGAGGGGGGGGTTTCCGGTGTGGAATCTCGCGATGTGTTGCGGCTGAGATCTCGGAGGCGGTGCAGATGGCGGCGGCTGCGGGAGGCGGAGGCGGCCGCGGGTCCGAGGGCCCCGGGGGTGGGTCCGGGGGCCCCGGGGTGGGTCCGGGGCGGGTCCGGGGGCTCTGGGTCCGGAGGCCCCGGGTCTGGGTCCGGAGGCCCCGGGTCTGGGTCCGGAGGCCCCGGGGTGGGTCCGGGGGCCCCGGGGGTGGGTCCGGGGGCCCCGGGGGTGGGTCCGGGGGCCCCGGGGAGCCGCTGAGGGCCCGGGGTCGGGCCGGACCGGCGGCCGCTGAGCTCACGCTGTCCCCGCTCCGCGCGGGTCCGGGGAGGGAGGCGCCGGGCGCTGCCGGTACCGCGGGGGCAGCAGTGAGGGCCTCGGGCGGCGGCGGCCGAGGAGCAGCGGCAGCGGCGGGAGGAGGAGGAGGAGGAGGCGGCGGCGGCTCCTTCATTGAGTGCGTCCCCGTGACCGTGTCCCTGGAGCATGTGGACGGTCAGGAGAGGTACAGTGAGGCCGAGACCCCCCACAGCCCCACACACACACACAGCGGCCTGAGGGTGAGACCCCCCCCCTCCCCCCACACAGTGCCCTGAGAGTGAGACCCCCCCCCCTCCCCCACACAGCGGCCTGAGGGTGAGACCCCCCCCCTCCCCCACACAGTGCCTGAGAGTGAGACCCCCCCCCTCCCCCCACACAGCGGCCTGAGGGTGAGACCCCCCACACAGCGGCCTGAGGGTGAGACCCCCCACACAGCGGCCTGAGGGTGAGACCCCCCCCCTCCCCCCCACACAGCGGCCTGAGGGTGAGACCCCCCCCTCCCCCACACAGCGGCCTGAGGGTGAGACCCCCTCACACAGCGGCCTGAGGGTGAGATCCCCCCTCCCCCCATACAGTGCCCTGAGAGTGAGACCCCCCCCCTCCCCCCCCACACAGCGGCCTGAGGGTGAGACCCCCCCCCCTCCCCCCCACACAGCGGCCTGAGAGTGAGACCCCCCCCCCTCCCCCCCACACAGCAGCCTGAGGGTGAGACCCCCCCTCCCCCATACAGTGCCCTGAGAGTGAGACGCCCCCCCTCCCCCCCCACACAGCGGCCTGAGGGTGAGACCCCCCCCCTCCCCCCCACACAGCGGCCTGAGGGTGAGACCCCCCCACACAGCGGCCTGAGGGTGAGACCCCCCCACACAGCGGCCTGAGGGTGAGACCCCCCCTCCCCCCACACAGTGCCCTGAGAGTGAGACCCCCCCTCCCCCCCACACAGCGGCCTGAGGGTGAGACCCCCCCCCCTCCCCCCCACACAGTGCCCTGAGAGTGAGACCCCCCCCTCCCCCCCACACAGCGGCCTGAGGGTGAGACCCCCTCACACAGCGGCCTGAGGGTGAGACCCCCCCCCCTCCCCCACACAGCGGCCTGAGGGTGAGACCCCCCACACAGCGCCTGAGGGTGAGACCCCCCCCCCTCCCCCCCACAGCGGCCTGAGGTGAGACCCCCCCCCCTCCCCCCCACACAGCGGCCTGAGGGTGAGACCCCCCCCCCACAGCGGCCTGAGGGTGAGACCCCCCCCCCACAGCGGCCTGAGGGTGAGACCCCCCCCCACAGCGGCCTGAGGGTGAGACCCCCCCCCCCACAGCGGCCTGAGGGTGAGACCCCCTCCCCCACAGCGGCCTGAGGGTGAGACCCCCCCCCCCCACAGCGGCCTGAGGGTGAGACCCCCCCCCCCCACAGCGGCCTGAGGGTGAGACCCCCCCCCCACACAGCGGCCTGAGGGTGAGACCCCCCCCACAGCGGCCTGAGGGTGAGACCCCCCTCCCCCCACACAGCGGCCTGAGGGTGAGACCCCCCTCCCCCCCACACAGCGGCCTGAGGGTGAGACCCCCCCTCCCCCCACACAGCGGCCTGAGGGTGAGACCCCCCACACAGCGGCCTGAGGGTGAGACCCCCCCCACACAGTGGCCCGAGGGTGAGACCCCCCCCTCCCCCCCACACAGTGGCCTGAGGGTGAGACCTGACATTTGACATCGCGCCTCATCACGTCTTCGAGAGTAGCGCTTCGCAGTGTAGTGACCGTATATTTGTGGGTGAAACGTTTGTGAGATCCCTCCGCGCAGAGAGCGTCTGCGCCGCTGCTCACCGGGGAAGTTAACGAGACATTTGCTTCCGGGCAGAGCTTCGCGTGAAGGTGACCGTGTAAATAAATGCAGCAGCAACAGCTTATTTCTATGAAACCCTCACGCGGGGCAGTGGGTCGGAGCGTTTAACGGTGGTGGATGCTGACGCCGAGCCGGCGAGAGGGAGGAGGTCGAAAAAGGAAGGTCTTCAGTCGCGATCTAACGGAGGGGAAGGAGGGGGTCAAGATGGAGGGAGAGAGTCCTGCAGCGACTGAAATCGCAGCCGGCGATGGTGGAGCGGAGGGGATGAGGGACAAGCAGGTGGCCTGAGCCAGCTGGACAGGGGCAACGGGTAATGGGTTAGGGGAGTAAACAGGTCGGAGAGGGAGGGAGGTGCCAGGGCATGAGGGGGTTTGTAGACGTGTGTGAGGATCTTGAAGTTGATCCGTTCTGTGATAGGGAGCGAGAATTGGTGTGATGGGGGGTACGGAGTTTAGAGCGGATGAGTGTACGTACGGCTGGTGAAGTTTTGAATTCGTTGGACTTTGTGGATCGGTGAGCTGGGCAGATATTGTGCATTGGAAAAATCATGGCGGCAGCTAATGATTGCGTCGGTGAGGGTTTCAGCTTGTGAGGTGTGTGACGCCCGCTCCCTCCGCTTGGCAGGCACTGGCCTGCTTCGTGCCCCCCCCCCGTCCTGCCCACTCGACCATTGGCCTTCAGCATCTCTGTCCCCATCCTCTGGGGACAGACTCCGCAACCCCTACGGCTCTCCCACTCCATTGGCTCCTCCATAGCCCATCTCAAGACCCTCCTCTTTGATCATACCTTCGTTCATCCTCCCACTCCCACTCCCTTTGCCCTCCACCCCTCTTGTTTCCAACTCCCAGCTCAGGTGCAAACGCTTCACTGTCCAGATCCTGGTACATCCTCCATGTGAAAGGCGTTATATAAATGCAATTTGTTGATGTTGTTTATATCACTATTCATTAATTTAACTAATAAGATTGCATTTGATGCAGTGCATATGATGTAGTGCTTTATCATATCATCGAGATTTCACAAAGGCCTTGTTTTATTCTAATATTTGTGTTGCTTTGTCAGAATGGCCTTAAAAGTTTGGAAGGAGGATATTTCACCTGACAATGAGTAACCAGGGTGCGTTTTGTGTTGTGCCACATGCTAAGATAACATCCTAACTTAAAATGAATTTCAGGATTGTCAATCTTATTGATCTTAGACTAAAGTAAAGATTTGGGCTGCTTCTTTCCGAATCTCACCAAATGGTCAGCCATACTTTCGCAATGATGTTCGTTGTCTCACAAACTTCCGGCAGTGCCCTGGGATGTATAACATCTGATTCTGATTATTTGGTAGGCTAGAATCCCTCCACCTTAAGTAACATGCCAAGTATCTCTGCAATATACTACAGAAATTGGATGTGATATTAGTATTGTTCTCTTATGATATTGTTATAATCCTTGTTATGATATTAAAGCACTGCAGATATACAAAATAGAAACATAATTACAATGAATGGTATTGGAAAGTTACTAATGGGAGTTGATCCATTTGTGATGTGCAAGGGTAAGGCATCTAGTTTTTGTTGACGTGTTTGAGGCCATGATGTTAACTTGCTGGTGCAGTCATTCATTGCTTGCTGTATCTAGATGGGACATTAAAGTGAGGTCCCATCTACTTGTTCAGGTAGATGTTAGAGATCCCATGGCACTATTTGAAAGGAGAAGGGAGTTACTCCTGGAGTCCTGGCCAACAGTCCCCCCAATTGGTCACTGCTTTGCTGTTTATGAGACATTGCTGTGTACAACTGGCTGACGTGTTTCACCCACAAAATACACAGTCAATCCACTTCACGGTATATCCTGTGTAACACTTTGAGATGTCTCAACGACGCGATGAGGCGCTAAATCAAATGAAAGGATTATTATTCTAATTGGATAAGTAAATGAGAAGCGTGGAATAAAAGATCCGTTGTTTTATTGGCTTTCTTCTGTGAATAGCTAAGGATTTACATAAATGTTCTTTCCCTTTTCTCTCAGGAGCCAGGCTATGTAACAATTCTATTCTGAATGCAATTTTCTTTTTATTCCAGAATAGTGTGTGTGACTACAGATGCTAATGGAGGTACGTTGTCTTATGTTGGCCAGCTGAATTCGGATGTGAATTTGGAACTACAGACCGCAGGTAATGGTCTTGTATGTTTGTTCCAAGATGACTTGGTTTAATTTGTTGGTGGCTGGTTTGGGGGTGTCTGGATTATTGCTTTCGGTTGCTTTCATTTATTTACTGGACTCTGGGTATCCGGAATTCGAATCTAGCTAGACCGGGCCCGAAATCAAAGACATGTATTTTAAAAAAATCTACGGATATCGACTTTGACTCATTGTTTTAATGCGACGAGCAGAGCTTGCTTCTTAGCTATCTTCTGCTTTAGTCTAATAATAATCATTATTATTACAACTTTAGCTTGGACTGTCCACCTTTGATATACTGCCTTAACTCAAAGTGCTTCACAGAATACACTCTAAAGCGGTGTAACTATGTGTATATTTTGGGCAAAGTGTAATTGAGGGTCCACAGGACACTTGAGTTCCAAGCGGGCTTATGCTCTAGCAGGGCACATTATATCAGGGTTGGTGAGTATTGCCTGTACGTGTTAAATGTCCAAATTGCACAGGACTAATCTTGGCATGGAAGGCAGGGATAAATAAAAGTAACGTATAAACATTTTCCCAAAAGTCGACTGTTTCTGTGATGATGCCTACAATTTGACAGAGTGCCCTGTGGTTTCATATAATCTTTGAAGTCTAATTTGTCACCAAAGTATTTGGCTAACAGTGTTTGTTTCAATCTATCAATTTTCCTCCTCTTCTGAAGTCATTGACATATTTTTCCTGCTTCTGGGTATGGTTCCACCGATGAGAAGAAGTTCCATATACATAGGAAATAGGAATTGCTGGACGAAAAAATGTCCAAGGTCCATCTAGTTGGTCTTTTACCACCTTGGTAATCACATGCTACAATAATGGAGATGTCGATAGCAATGATTTCTGTGTGGACTAATCTACACCCGAGTGGAAAGCTTTGCAAACCTTAGATTCAAAAGTAGGATAACGTCTCAAAGCGCTTTCCAAGGACAGTGTCAGACTCCAAGCAAGGGAGGAAGGGGTGGTGACCGTAGATGCAGTTGAAGAGGTAGATTTTTACATTGGATTTAAAGACGAATAGAGAGGCGGCGAGATGAAGGGAATTCCTGAGGTTCGGGGCGTAGTAACTGAAGGCTCAGCCACTGATTGTGATGTAGGGGAACACACATCAGGCCCGAGTTAGCAGGGCGATGGGGACAAGCAGAGGAGTGTGGCGGGAGAAGGTCACAGAGATAGGGAGGTGCTCAGCGTGAAGGGATTTATAAGTGAGGATGAGAACTTGAAGTCAATCAATACTGACCGTTGAATTATATACGAGCATAAGAGCTAACCTTTGAATTATATACTAGTATACGGGCTGGAATAATTTACATCCTGTTGTGGTGTGACAGTGTGTTTAGTATTGTGGATGGAGGCTGCTTTGAACATTAAATGCGTTTTATTAAGTTAATCTTCATTCACTGCAGTGCTCCTCACGGGGCTGTTAGTTGTTGGTACATGTGAATTATCCTTGTTTTTGCAGTGTCTCCACGGCCTTTGTTGCAGCGGGGTTCAGTGAGTGCTATTCCGCCAGGCACTCCCCTGCTTCAGATCCATCCTTTGGAGACAGGACCTCAGAGGCTGCAGAACGTTATTCTGGACGGACAAGTGGAAGGCAGCGGTGGAGCAAAGGATCTGGAGAATGACGAACCAAAGGTATTCGTGGGCAGGATTGGTGGAATTGGACTTCACTGCTGCTTTCAAAGGAAATGTGGAGAAGTAGCAGGAACTTTGGCCAAAATCAAGCAGGTAGACACCTGTTCTAAGCATTCCCTCCCCTCCACCTATAGCACAGCCTTGCTTATAGCACAGGTGTCCTGTGGATCCTTGCTAACTGCAAGCGAGATACACTTGGTTTCTGGCAGTGACCGGCTCCTGACATCACTTCCTGTGTATTGTATCCATGAGCAGTATACACAGGAAATGTTGATGATGTCACTTTCTGTGCTATGTGCAGGAAACACCACTGATATCACTTTATAAAGGTCATGTGAGGCCTAAGAAGCCTGAAGTTGGCTTGATTTGGGCACTTTGTTTATATCGTAGCTTCTCAGTTATTGACCCAGATTCCCAATTGGGGAAAAAGCATTTCACAGTTTACCCTATAGGTTTTTTGTTCAATTTTACATAATAATAACTATCCTTGCATTTGATATAGCGCCTTATGTCATTTGAGACATCTCAAAGCGCTTCACAGAATATACTGTAAAGTGAATTGACTGTATATTTTCTGGGCGAAATACATGAATCAGAGATGAGTGAATATTTAAATAAAAACATAGTTTGTCCATGTTGCCCATAAGTTTAAAAGAGACACATCCCACCAACATACACTGAGTAGTAGAGGTATTAAGTGTGCAAAAAGGCAGAGCTTTGGGATTAATACTCTAAGATAAAGGGAGGATATTTCTAGCTGGATAAGCAGCAGGAAAGCTTGCCAGACAGAGATATCAATGGCAAGCTATGTGGTTTTAGCTGGTTACACTGCAGCAGTACCCCAGAGCACATTCTGGGGTCCTCAAGACTTGGCTCTTGCAAACCTGTGCCTAATACTCTCCTGAATTAGGTAAGCAGGATGTGTCTCTCCAGGGAAAGAGTAAGAATTCCATTCCAACAATCTATCTCTGGAATTTCTATGTGTGGGTGGGATGTCATATAAACCTCAGCTTGGTTTGGATACTCTTCAGCATAGTGTTGGGTTTCCAGATTCGTCCCTGACCAAACAAAAAGGGATTAAAAGATCTACCAAAATCTAATAAACTGGTGGAAGAGGTTTAGTGGGTTGAATGACCCTCTCCTGATCCTGTTTTCCCTGTAGATAATGAGGGGGAGGAAGGAGGAAAGCAAAAGTGGATAAGAGAGGAAGAGGGGGGGATGTATCCTAATTCATTTTGATGTGCAAAAATTCAGGATGGACTTGTTATTTTGGTGACTGGATGTCCACTGTTTGAAAAATATCTATGAATTTGCTTTATGAGCCAAGACTGTCTTGGAAACCTACACTCTTGTAACATTGTTTATGTAGGAACCAAAGAGCCTCCGCATTGCTGCAGACTCGTAATCTAGAACCCACTTAAATGAAGAAGCAACAGGGCCCCCAAAGCACAATACTGGAGGCTGCAGTTTGTGTGCGGGTCAGCTGGCTCCAAACAGTTGCGTTCGCTCACTAGCTATGGAAATGCAACTTCGCTTTGAGTGAGGTTTGTTTAAACGGTGTTTTTTCAAATTTTCATCAGGTCATTGGTCCATTTTTAATCCGGGCAGATGATGCTCTCTGCTGTCGAAGTCCTGTGTACTGCGGTTGGGCATCAACATAATGGATTGCTGTTAAAAATGTACACAGTAAGTCAGAAGCTCTTTCAGAGAAAAGGGCTGCATTTAAATCGGGCTGGGACAAATGTCCCAGCTAAACGAATTAATAGGGAGGTAAATAGGAATTACACTAGTAAAGGGGGGTAATATAAAGGTAAGAGAAACCATAAGTTAGCATTAGAAAAAGTAAAGATGACAGTGCAGAATAGCCTGCCAGATAATAGGAATAGGTTAACTAGGGGTAAGAAGCTTAGCAACGCAGATAAGGAATCAGAGAGTAGAGGAAATGGTAGGAAATTAAAAATGTTATATCTGAATGTGCGAAGCATTTGGAATAAAACTGATGAATTAAAAGCGCAGATAGACACATGTGGGTACGATCTAGTAGCCATCACTGAAACATGGTTGCAAGGAGATCTAGGGTGGGAGTTAAATATTCCAGGGTTCTCAGTTTACAGGAAAGATAGGCACTGTGGGAAATGAGGTAGGGGGGGTTGTCCTGCTAATTAGGGATGAAATAAAAGCAGTGGAGAGGAAGGATCTGAAATCCGATGACCAGGAGGTTGAGACAATATGGGTGGAAATAAAAATAATAAAGGGCAGAAAATATTAATGGGAGTGGTTTAGGGATATGGGGATAAGGCAGGGTTAAGTTGTTAGCTGGAGTTAGATTAGAAGATCAGCCATGATTGAATGGCGGGGCAGGCTCGAAGGGTCGAATGGCCTACTCCTGCTCCTACATGTTATGTTAAGTACAGACAGCCCTTGGCTTGGTAGCTGTTTTCACTGCTGTACCAGCAGTTTGTGCCTTCAGGGTGCAATAGTTTCCAGATACAATCGAGCCCTGGGCCTTGTGGAACTGGTTTGCTGAGAAGGAACTTTGCATTTCTTCTCCATGTCAGTACTCTCCCCACCCCTCTCCTTGTTCTCCTTTGACTTTGTTATTTTTGTACCTCGGGGTGGTATGTGAGAGATTCCATGGTCTCTTCCTGTCTTCCTCTGGCACTGCCATAAGTTGCCAATATTTATTTGTTAATTTATGTTATTATTTGACATTATTACAGTCAATCCATTTAAAAATATATCCTGTGAAGCATTTTGAGATGTCTCAACGACATAATGAGGCACTATATCAAATGCAAGGATTATTATTATTGGCACAAATTTTTTTTAATCAGGTCAGCAGTTTTTTNACAACAAAATCATTGCAGGCCTTAATCTGTCCTTGCCTGGCTTCCACACAGATGCCTCTGACGTGGGTTATTGGAATGAGGGCCCTTGCTGTTTTCACTCTCTCTCTTACTCCTACTGTTGAAGACAACTTCATTTGCCACTTGCCTGCGACCTGTCCATTTAAGTTATTTTTGAGTTAATTCTTATTTTCAAATTGCATTTCTTAAAAACGAAGTTAGCCCTTTTTTTGTTTTCTTTAAATCAGTGCCAGCATCGATTAGCGAGACCACATTTCCTAGAGGGAGAAGTCTACTTCAAGTAAGCTTTTAGCAGTTCTACTAAAACCGCTTGGGAATCAGACATATCTACAGCACAGCAGAAGGCTGTATCTGTATCTGGGCTGACATTTTAAGAGCAATCCTTTCAGTCCCATTTATCTGTCCTTTCTCCATACCCTTGTAGCTTACTGTAGAACGAGTATGGATTCTGTTTCACCCACTTCTTCTGTCTCCATATCCATAATTCTGTATCCTAACTACTTTGCGGGAATAAAAAAATTCTAACTTTAACGTTTGCTCATTCACTAATTATCTTAAATTGATGTCTTCTAGTTACGGATTCACTGACTAGTGGAAATAATTTCTCACATGATTCTAATGACCTCTATCAGGTCACACCTCAAACCTCTTTGTTCCAAACTGGAGGATGAGTCAGGTGTGTGAGAAGTAGGTTAGTCAGACCGTCGTGTTTGTCTCGTGTCCTGGATTTTGACCCAGTGGTGCTGTCTCTAAATATCATGCTGCGATTAACAGAAGTCTTTTCATAAGCTGAATCTATGGACTCATTTTTATTTTTTATTTAAGGGCGTTGACTGTATTGCTTGACATATGCTCGTGCAAGGTTTGTTTTGGCATTGGTTATTTTAAACAAATAAAAGCTCACTCTTCGCACGGCACACTGTACAGACTTGGAAGCTGACTGTGAGGGAGAGGAACAGTGAAAGTAAGACAACCCTCTTTTGCCTACAAAATACAGTCACTTCACCTAACAGTATATCCTGTGAAGTGCTTTGAGACATGCCTCTGTCGTGAAAGGCACTAAATCAAATGTAAGGATTTTTGATTAATGTCGTGCTCGCCAGATACTGCACTGGAGTGTCAGGCTGATTTGTGTGCTTCTAAATTCCAATGTGGGGCTTGAATCCATTACCTGACCCAAGAGATTAGAGTTCTAGCTACCGAGTCAAGTTGTCACCCATAAATAATGCAGAATATTACTACTTAACTTCGGAAACTAAATCTAAAGAAAATTCCTCCTCATCAGTGACACAGAAAGCTCATTTTGTAAGACAACTTTTGTAAAAAAAAATCTTATTTTAAAAAGCAGCCAGTAGTGAAGATCAATATCTGATAAAGTTTGCAGAAAATACAAATGTGCGAAAGTGCAAAATTAAAATGACTGAATGCTTTCCCAAATTATTTTTACATTCCTCATTGAATGCTCCTCTCAATACCCAGGAACTGCCAGTGAAGTAAACAGCAGTGTGTGATAGATACAATTAGGGAATCTGTTTGCTGGTTGTATCTGTGCTGCAGATTGTACCCAGAGTTCAGCATATCTTTCTTATGCCACCTTACGGCAATTTCAAGCTACTGCACACGGAATGGCAAAAGTGAAGGAGGTGCTTTCTGATGTAATTACGGTAGAGAGCCCTTTATCTGCAGTAGTTGAGGTGAGTCCCATTGTGGATAAGGAAACAGTGTGGATACAAGTCATCTTGCAAAATACAAATTATCTGATATGCTAACCCCAAACCACTTTCATCAGAAGTTATGCTATCACTATAGAGATACAGAGTGCATGGCTGGCATATACGCTATGCCAGCCATTCTCTCTCTCTCTGCCATTCTTTCCCCCCCCCAGTCTCTCGCGTGCTCTCTGGCACAGTGTCCACCGTTGTCAGGTTGCACAGCACTTTTCCACTTGAGGCAACCAGATTGTCACATACTGTAACTCAGAATCTATTTATTGTCGAAAGCAGACGTTGATTTTGTGCAAAATAATCCAATTGATCTGGGTCTTCCCTTTGGAGCATTCAAAGCTCTGAATTCAGAATTCAAACCTTATATATATATATATATATAGGGAGAGAGGGAGAGAGAGAATGGGGTTCGTGTGAACTCCAGGCAATTTACAGCAGTAAATATTGGTAACCGCCCAGCATGTCTGTCTTCACCTCCCTGCTGCAGTTCTCATCGAATTCTTTGTATAATGAGAGTTTAAAGAGTTTCTTTTAGAACTTGCATGCTTTTTTGTAACCCTTTCTGTTCTGCAATAATAATAATAATTGTTGCTGCATTTGATATAGCGCCTCATCATGTCATTGAAACATCTCAAAGCGATTCATAGAATATACTGTAAAGTGGATTGACTGTGTATTTTGTGGGTGAAGAGTGGCAGCCAATTGCTAAGAATAACAATCAATGCAGAGGATGCCCAATTCTAAGTGTGGGACAGTCATTTAAATAATGGTGTGAAACCAAACAATAACAACAACTTGCATTTATATATGCCCCTCACGCAGGGTAGCCTCGAGAGTGCTTGAAAGTGGCAGAGCACGATGCCGAGCCAAGGCTGAGCAGTGCTGAGCAAAATCCTGCTATTGGTGAAACTACTCAGCATAAGCTCTGTGATTTCATCAACAAAAGGAGCCTCCAAATATTCAGTAGCTCTTTTCACATGTGTGTCTGAGCACGAACACATCATAGAGCCCGGGTCAGGTGTCCTTAGTTGTTGAAACGCTTTACTTGCAAACCTTTATAGATGGGATAAGACCTGCTGGGTGAAGTGATCAGTTTGTATGTCAGAGCAGAACAATTACCATCTTAAGAGTCTTAAAGACTTGTAACTAACGAGATGAAAATTTTCTTTCTTTGACATCCTTATGCCCTTTGCTTTCAGCAGGACAGCTTTCACTAAAATGCAAGCCATTTAAAGCTGTCTGATGACGAGTGTCTCTTTCCATGCTAATAAAGTGGCATGTTTATTAATAGTAAAGTAAAATTGCTGCCAAACTAAAATCTGCTGCCTGCTAACTTAGCAGCAAGGTGTTAATCTGTTGTGGTGTTTTCTTACAAGTGAAGTGGAAAGTTCATTCTTGTCTAGAACAAGGGCTTTGAAGTGAATTGCTTTTGGAGAGGCTAATTTTCCCTGGACCTTGATACATATCTTTTAGTACTCTACTGAAGGGAACTGGGAAGGCTGTGGATTTTTTCCCCAATACGTTGAAGCCTAATAATACATTATTTCTATTTCATTCCACCCACCTCTTGGAAGTGTTTCTTCACCCAAAGGGTAAGTAATGACTGAAACACAGGTTGCTAAGAAGGGTGGTTGAGGCCAGGACACTGGACTTATCTTTTATATTTTTTTAAAAAAGCTTGATGCTGAGATGAGGGCATTAGGATGGGTATTCCAGAAGATCGAGATCAAATGGGAAATTCGTATAAACCAATCTTGTGATCCTGTAATCATGTGTAATGCTAAAGTAGGCCATGTAGAACAAGACATCTGGCAGTGGTGTTTACAGCACAAATCTATTCTCAAAGTCCGCAAACATTCATAAGCAGCTCAAGTGTCCCTCAGGTGTCCTACGTCACTGCCAGCCAGCCGTTATCTGCAGCCCTTATCCCCAGCCGTCCTTGCTGGAGGTTGTGACTTGCTGTTGTGGCTGCCGAGGTTTGCTGCGTGACTTCACATCCCATGACGTAAAGGTGACTTTCCTACACAAGTGGAAGAAAAATTTTACTGTAAAGCTGGCTTTCCCTGGGATAATTACTGTTTTACTCTTTTTATTCCAGAAAATTGCATATTTAAGTTTAGAATTGAGGTGCAGCTGCATAAAGGACATAAACATTTAAAGATTTAGACACCGATCAATTTCAATGTTTAAGCTGTAGTGGTGAGGCTCTTCACAACATTGAATTTGGTCACTTCATGCCTGGTACAGCAGCACCCAATCTCTCCTCATTGCCTCATGCATTTGTTTCCACACTGTAACCTCTTGGCTTTGGGTATTCTACAGCATACTGAAGCATACTTGATCACTTCTCGAGTCCTTTGGTATATAGAATACTGTAAAACTCATAAGTCAAATCATTCGGGACCATAACATTTAATATGACTTATGAGAAGTCTGAGGTGCAGGAAAACTGTACGAGTCATAAATCTGATTTAATTAATAATCTACACTGCGCATGTATAGTTCAATGCAGCCGGTCAGTGTGTGCAGTGACGGATCAAGATTACATGCGCACTTACCAGCAAGCATTGGAATATATGATTTAGGCGGTTATACCATTTATATAGATAAGCATCGATGAATGACCAATTCAGTAAAGGTAAGATTTGTGTTAGTTTTACTGTACATGGTGTGGTGGGTGATGAGTTTGAGTCTTGACTTTTTTTATTAAATTTCTCATTTATTGATGCTTATTGAAACATATGGGCATTTGTCCTACCCATATCTATATGAGATCTATAAACCTGTCTTGACTGATGCTGATGTCTTTTACACTCAGAAACGAAAAGGCGGGTGGCCCAAAGGCAAGAAGAGAAAACCTCCAAAGGATTTCACTGCACCTCGTGCTCCTACCACAGGGTAAGGAATTGTTTGTTGCTGGATCTTAGTTCTTGGTGACGGTCAACCCATGTTTGGAAGCACCATAAACTCCTGGTTATTGATCTTCATTCCTTCACTCAAGGTATCGGGTTATTCGTTGAGCCAGCCTCTTGCTGGGAGGTCTGAGGGCATTGGCTCGAATGTTGACAAGGACGACAACATAGCTGAGCCCGATCCTGTTCTTGCTGGACACTCCGATCTTTCACAGAGAATCTCTGGATTCAGGAGCCTGACTTATGCTTCTCTCCCCTTACTTCCTCCCTCCCGACAACCTGGGGCTGAGCCCAATTATAAAGCCTCTACTGTTGCCCCCGTTTAGATCAACAAACAGTCTGCGATGTTCTGCCACAACATGATTGCGTGCAGTTTCTCAAGTGTGTGTTAGTAGTAATTTCGATGGTTGTCTATGTACGTGCAATTCATCATTATCAAATAAAGTCACTCAGGGATGATGGCTTTATGTCCTACTGCCATCTTTAGTGGTGCTTATAATGGCTGAATCATCCAATGTGGTTTTACGCTGAGATTTACGCTCCTGTCGTTTTGCTGCAATGAAAAGCCTGGTAGCAACGCTTCTTAAGAACTTGTTCCTTTAATCCCCTGTAACTGCCTGACAGGTATGTGTTATTCCTGAATGAACAGAGAGCCAAGCTCAAAGCTGAACATCCAGATCTGCCTTTCACAGAGATTACTAAGATGCTGGGCACTCGGTGGTCACAGCTCTCACAGGAGGGGAAGCAGGTGAGACATAGCTCCATCCTCCTCTTTGTAGAAGTTGTATTTTTATGGAGTTGCAAAAAAAATAAAGATTTTTGCATGTTTTTTTTCTCTGAACAAATCTTCTCCCAAAATACCATTGATGTGTAATTGAGATGTTCTGAGACGTTGGTGTCTTAAAGGGAATGAGAAGGAGAATGCTGGGCACTCAAAAAGTGTCCACAAATCTCAAAAAGCGAGATTTCAAAATCTGTATGAGTTTTGAACGTCAGTGTTTGTAGATCATACGCCTAAAACTTATTATTGCCATTCATAGAGTTTTCTTCCCACAAAGGATGTGCTCTTTGACTGATGGTGCTTTGCTTTATGATCAATAGAAGTATATTGATGAAGCAGAGAAGGATAAGAAGCGATATATAGAGGAGCTCAAAGCATATCAGAATTCAGAGGCTTACCAAGCCTTCCTGAAGAGGAGAGCGATCAGTAAGGTCAAAAACCTGTGTGGTAAGCAGAAACCATTTCCTTTAGATTGTAATAACTGCATTCAATTGTGTGAGTGGGGGTAGATATTGCTACCCAGTTACATGAGAACTCGACCCATTTGGAAGTTTGCAGTATTTGCACACTCAAGATCAGACTTGTTCATTTGGTTGTGAGTATGTGGGAGACCAGCAGGAAAATCGATTGCAGCTTTTTCAATCAGTCCAAATCATCTCATGACGTGTAAAATGTTTGAAAATTGACGCCTTAGGTTAGCACATACTTTTTTGCTACATTTTTCCTTTTTGTGTTTACTAACAGTAGAACCCTGTTACGAGGATCCCCTTAATAACGCTGGTTCACTTAGAAGGCGGGTGGTGCCCTGATGGCTGTTCCTTACTTCATTGAGCAGCTGTCTTCCCGTGTGCTGCAGAGTGGCTGACTTCCAGGTCTTCAGGTCAATGTCACCGACGTCACTTCTGTGCATGCGCACATCACCAGTTGTAATTGGTGGCGACACAATGCGGAATTGCTAACGGGAGGTCGCGCCCCATTATTAGGTTGTTTGGGATTTCACGGACCATTGTGGTAACTGGTTCCTACTGTAACTTGCTAATTCCAGAAGCGAGTTTAAAAGTGACTTATCAGGAAGTCGTCCACGAGATTCCCATATAAACTGAGTTAATATTGGATTCAGCAAGACTCTTTCAACACTAGACCCGGCAGTGTTTACCTGAGAGGGCGGTGTCCCGTGAGATCACACTGCTGATGAGAGACATCTGATCGTTCAAAATGCTAGTTGCACTTAATGGAGCATGTCATTGCCATCAGGTGTGGAGTCTCTGGATGCTGAGTTTGAAAACGATGCTGTGGCACTATCGGAAATTGATGTGAGTAGAGTTATTTTTTCGCTGTGGAAATTTTTATTTTAAAAAAAAGTTAAATGAAGTAATTGAGCAGAACTATACTGCAGTTATATAATTATAGTTATATATTTATAGTTATAATTCTATAGTTATACACTTATGGCTATAATTCTATAACTATAATCCCTCCTCCGCCCCTCTCTGATCCAAACCGGCAGCTTGGGTGCAAACTCTTCATTGTCCAGCGCCTTGGGACTCACTCCCAACGTGAAAGGTGCTTTATAAATGCTATTTGTTGTTGAATTTGTTGTTGTTGCAGGCAAACGTGTGTATGGAAAAGGCGGAAACATTTATAAGCTTCTTCCCAACTATTTTTCAGCCCCACTCTTCCCCGCTTCCTTCTTCCCCCCTCTCTTCTTCTGCAGCTTAAGTTCCTAGGTTTTGCTACATTAAGCAAATCTCAGTTAAGGCACTACGATTTGACTGGGGTGGAGGAAGGTTTGAATTTGAAGAGTTGTTTCAGCCATGACATATCTGTGTCCATCTACTCAGTGGCTCCCACATTAAAGAAAGTCTGATGCACTTTGTGCTGTCCGTACAGGATTTTCCTCTGTGCTTGGTCACATTTTTCTCTTCGGTGCCTATTATTGTATATGGGCATTTGACAGCCCCCAGGTAGATTGTCCACATGTCTATTCGGATGAGCCGAGGCTACAAATGTTGACGAGCTGTGTGACCCAGAACAGCATCTCATCCAAGCCTAATCCTGTTCACACTATTGTTGACACGGATCCACTAGATATCAGGAATGAGAACCATGGCTGAATTCAATCCGCTCATATCCCATCCCTCCCTTCCCATCCCCGCCCAAGAGGCAAATCTTAGTGCCTCAATTTAGATTCACTTAACTCTGCTGTATCTGGGAACCTATTCTGCAACATGCTGGTCCATGGCTTGATGTTTGGTGTTCCCTTTATCCAGGGAGCCTTGGAGATTTATTTAATGACTGTGTCATAGAGATGTGGCAGCAATTTGGACATTGGCTTACGTTAGCAGATCTCTGTCTTATAAATTCACATGTACTTGTCGTTAGTATATTTTGATTACCTTGAAAATAGCACTAGTCACAATAAAGATGTGCAGTGGGTAGATAGTTGCTGAATAACATTAGGATGTTTTTGTTTCCTTAAGCAGGATGATGACAGCAATGACCTGTACTGCAGGACGTGCAATCAGTATTTCAGCTCACTGCACAACAAGAAGGAACACCTTTTTGGAAGACAGCATTTGCAAAACTTAACCGGTAAAGATTTCTGCAGGCTATCAGCTTTAATGTTTTATTTACTCAGAAGACATTTTAAATGCTTATGATAATAATATTAATAATCCTTGCATTTCATATGGGGGCCTTCATGTTGGGAGACCGGGTAATAATCACATTTGTTTGTACGCTTGCTTGCACACGTTTACTTGTGTACGCTCACCCATGGTGCTTGTGCACATTGTGACTTCACAAAAGGGTAAGTCACATAGTGAGTAAGACGCATCACACACACTCTCAGCAGTGGCCAGGACACCGGGAGAAAGTCTCATTTCTTTTTAAATAGTGCCATGGGATCTTTAGCATCTATCTGACCAGCCAGACAGGACCTCAGGTTAGTGTTTATTCTGAAGGACGGCACCTCCCAACAATGCAGTGCTCCTTCAGCACTGAATTGGAGTGACATCCTGCACTATGTGAATTCAAAGTGAATTCAAAGTACCAGCGTGGAGCTTGAACCCACAACATTAGGACATGGCATTTGGAGTCCTGTAGCTCAGTGGTTAGAGCACTCGCTTTGCAAGTGAGAGACCTGAGTTCAATTCCAGGCAGAGGGCGAAACCTTGGGCAAGTTTCCTTACTCCACACAGCCTAATAATAATCCCTCCAAAACCAAAAACAATAATAAATTGGTCATTTTCAATCTATGACTGTTTGTGGGACATTGCTGTGCGCAATTGACTGCCGCGTTTGCCCACAAATATACAGTCAATTCACTTTACAATGTGTTCTGTGAAGCGCTTTGGGACGTCCTCCCGACGTGAAAAGCGCTATATCAAATGCAAGGATTATTATTATTATTATGGCGAGAGTGTTTACCTCTGAGCCAGGCTGATACTAACACACTTAGGAAGAGAGATTCAATCTGGGTTTAGATATAGTGTTATTTACTGAATAATTTTCTTTGGTTTTGTACATAAATCCTGTACCCTGAAACTGCAGCACACACGCCTTGTTTTGGATGGTGTGTACCATGTAGTACTTGCACTGAATTTATTTTATTGTTGGAGTAGCTACAAACTTGTCAGTTTTACTTCCCCTCAAGCTCAATTCTTTCTGCCAAAACCAGTGCAGCGGAAATGTCTGCCTCTGTTTGTTTTAATTTTTATTCTGACTACTTTTCAACTCCTGCTTTTTAGAAGGCTGAGGATTCAGGATGTAAAATGCACATTGTTTTCTGTTGTTGAGGTTTAGTTAGAGGATTACTGTAGTCTCGTAATGTAGTGGTTAGTGCACTCACCTCGCAAACAAGAAGACTCGGGTTCAATTCCCGGGCAGGGCAATAGCTGAGGCTAGTTTCTTTATTCCACACACCTCTGATTACCTCGCAATAAATAGGAACTCGGGTGTTAGTCGATTGGCATATCGCTTTCCGGGGGTAATGATTCCCCCAAAAAATTCAATCCACATCTGTTTGTGGGACACTGCTGTGCGCAATTGGCTGCTGCTTTTCTCCCACAAAATACATAGTCAATCCACTTTGCAATATATTCTCTGAAGCGCTTTGAGACTTCTCAACGACGTGATGAGGCACTGTATCAAACGCAAGGATTATTATTTCAACTCCTTTAAGAGGGCTCAGGATTCAGGATGTAAAATGCACATTGGATTTTGTCGGATGAGGGTAAATTAGCAGACCTCTCGAGCTTCACATTTGTACATTCGCTGTAATGTATCGGGTAGCGATAACCTGAAGCATGCACAGAGCCCACACTGACCACGGGAGGGGGTTAATGGCTGTGTCTCTGAATTCAAACAGGAGAGTTTAAAAAGGAGGCAGCTGAGCTATCGAAGCAGCAGCAGCAGGAACAGCTGGGAGACGAGGATTTAGCAGAGGATGCAGACTCAACCGAGCTCTCTCAGCTATGCGGACTGACCTCCAAGCACAGCCATACATCACTCAACCTCAGCCTTCTGGAGGAATATATTTTCAAACAAGTCAAATGTAAGCATGAACGTCATTCAACGACTCTTAATTATTTTTTGACTTTGTTCTCAATCAACTTAGAGTTACAGTTAAGTTGAACTGTTTCTACTCTGTTGTGAGCTCTCCTATTGGATCAAATCTCTGAGACCCATTGAGTTAAAACCAACATCCTTGCATCTCCAGCAACTAGCTTTTAATCCTTTTTTTAAAACTTTCTAGTCTATGTTTATTCTGTCTCAAGCTATACTACCCCACTTGAAGGACGCTATATAAATGGAAGTTGTTGTTGTTTCACCTTAGCCATTTGAACAACAGTTTTGGATAGTGGGGCCAAGGGAGATGATAAAGTCACATTAAACAGAGGCAGGGATGTGGGAGAGGGAAAGGTGACTGGAATTGCAGTTGAAAAAAGGTGCTCTTAAGGTTGGATTTAAAACCAGAGAGGGAGGTGGTAAGGCAGAAATGCTCCAGAATGGAGTTGCAACAACAATAACAAAATTCCATTTATAGAGCGCCTTTCACGTCGGGAGGACGTCCCAAGGCGCTGGACAGTTGGGTCAGGACCCGAGCAGGAGGAAATGGTCAGGATGAGGGGAGGGAAGGGAGGGAGCGAGGAGGGGGTAGAGAGTCGAGAGGGGAGCTGAAGGCACAGTCAAAGAGAAAGTCTTGAGACCGGCCTTGAAGGAGGAAAGGGAGGAGGCGGCGAAGGCACTGGGGGATAGAGTTCCAGAGCCTCGGGGCTGAGAGGTTGAAGGCCCGGCCACCGATGGTAGGGAGGTTGGGGCGGGGGATGTGGAGCAGACTGGAGTCAGAGGAACGGAGGGTACGGGCAGGAAGGTAGGGGGATAGTAGGTCGGAGAGGTGTTGCAGAGAACGGGGATAGAGTGGCTGAAAACTCACCGACTGATGGGGTAGATTGAGCAGGGGACATGAATCAGACAGATGTTAACTGAGAATTGATTATGTTTAAAACCAGAAAAAAATGCATATTGAGCTTTTTTTTTTCTCTCTCACTCCCCCTGCAGTAAGAGAGTTTGAACTTAGTGAACTCACAAAATCTTTGGAAAGTGCACAAGATGAACATGAAAATCTAAGCAAACAATTAGAAGTTTTGAAGGTAAATGTACTCTGTTGGCTTTAATGATGCAGTCTGCAATTTTCTTTGGGTGGAAGGGGTTATTTGTGAAGAAAGCATCCAAGGCTTCATTCAGTTGTTCTCGCCAATGCAAGTGAGCACTCGCCTTGCAAGCGAGACACCTGGGTTCAATTCCAGGCAGGGCGAAACCTTGGGCAAGTTTCCTTACTCCACACGCCTAGTAATAATTCCTACAAAACAATAATAAATTGGTCATTTTCAATCCACGAATGTTTGTGGTACATTGCTGTGCGCAATTGGCTGCCGCATTTCGCCCACAAATATCCAGTCAAATCACTTTACAGCATATTCTGTGAAGCGCTTTGAGACGTCAAGAAGATGTGAAAAGCACTATATCAAAATGCAAGGATTATTATTATATTATTATTAAGTGCTTTTCAAAAGAGACATTAAAAACTTACGGCTGGAGTGAGTGAGTTTGAAATTCTGAAGTAATATTCAGGCAGTTAACTTTGTTGAGAGCCCACAAAATATACAGTCAATTCACTTTACAGTAAATTCAATGAAGTGCTTTAAGATGTTTCAATGACAAGGCACTATATCAAATGCAAGGATTATTATTTTTATATAACATCAAAGAGACACTATTTTGAGGCCAACTCTGCTTTTAGTGCTTCCAGGTGAGATGGCATTTCTTCTCTTCAGTCATTAGGGTTCACGTATTACCCTGCAGTGATATCTTGTTACATGAAATATGCCACACCAAATGCATTTGCTTTCTCGTAAATTGGGTATCCATCTCTCTGATTGTATTAAAATTGATTTGGGTGCCTTTTTAAAAGCATTTCCGAACTGGTTCCAGCATCGTGTTGCAACCCGTGGTTTCTAATAACTTAATGGATTTATCTTTTACAATTTGTTTAAGCAAGAAGTATCAATGTAATTTCTTTCCCAGAATCGGAAGGTAAAGCTGGAAGCTGATCTTGCAAACTTGAAAGCCTCTGGAATCGCATTGGACACACAACTGGAAAGTTTAAAAATGGTTCCCATGCTCTTTCAATTCCATATCCAAATAATGGACAGTGGTATGTTATGTAACGCTCAATACATTTATAATTGATGTTTGCATAGACTATGAATTACAATTACAATCCAATACAATGCAAATTTATATTTATATAGCTCCTTGCACATGGGGAGGACATCCCTAGGATCTTAACAATAACTAGTTTGGCACTCAAGCTGGGGGTGGGAGGGGAAAGGTGACTGAATCCAAAAGATAGGTCCTGAGACTTTCAAAGAGGTAAGGGAGGAAGCAAAATTCAAAGAGCTGGTTCCAGTTGGGGAGCGAGCATCAGCACAGATGTGATTAGCCAAATGGTCTCTTTGTCTGCTGTAATACATTGGGGCCCAATATTTCTGATGTTAAGCTTAAGACCATTGTCTTAAAGTAATTCTAATAATAGTACTTTCATTTGATATAGCTCCAGTGATATTGAAATGCCTCAAAGCATTTCACAAGTAATTGAAGGACGCTATATAAATGCAAGTTGTTGCTGTAAAGTGAAGTCATTGTGTGTAATTGTAGGGGAACGAGGCAGCCAGTTTGTGCTCAAGATATGTTCTGCAAACAGCCTTGAAGTGAATGACCAATTTATCTGAGGGATAGTCGGCCAGGGCTGAAGATGTTGCAGAATTTTGGAAAAATATTCAGTATTCATTTGACAAAGCAAAAAATTAATCTTCAAATTAAGACTGAATTAGTAAGACATTTGAACTCACAATCTACATACTTGGGCAAAAGTGTTTCCAACTGAGCCAGGTTGACCCCATAAATGAGACAAAGAGATAAGTGTCAGTGGCATTTAAAAGGTGTTAATATCTTTTAAATGAGGACCCGGGTTTGAATCCTGGGTGAAATCTTAGGCAAGTCTCCGTACTCCACACGCCTCTGTTTACCAGCAGTAAGTAGCAACCGGGTTGTTAGTCAATTATCAGATCACTTTCCAGGGGTAATAATCCCTTCAAAAAAAATTTGGGTTACTCAATTCACAACTGTTTGTAGGACATTGTTTTGCGTAATTGGCTGCTGCATTTTGCCCCCAAAATATAGTCAATTCACTTTACAGTATAGTCTGTGAAGTGGTTTGGGACAACTGGAAGACATGACAAGGCGCTATATCAAATGCAAGCATTATTTTTTTTTACGGAAATTCTTTGGGAAGGGCGAAACAAAGGATACTGAAATCACTCTGCAGCACTTGCGTTTAGATTTATGGCTGATGCAATAAAATAAAATGCTTGTGTTTCTGGAACATGTTTTTAGAAAGTAATCTTTTAGGTCGGGTTTCTCTTTTCTTCCCCCCCCCCCCCGCACATAAGTTCACAAGTTAAGACGATCAGGCAGTCAGAACAATCCTATTATTAAAATAATCTTCATTTTATAACTTCTAGGAAATTGCATTCAGCAGAAACCGTGCCTATCTCTTGATACACTCACTAAGTAAAGGTAAGTGTGTTTGCTAAGCTTTGTGGCGTGCTTTCGAATGTTTGGACTTCTGTTCCAGAAAGTAATTTTAGTTCAATGGAAAAGCGATGGGATCAAATTGATTATCGTCACATTAATGACACTTAGCAATGTTGAAATGCCCCAAAACAGCCCAAATCTACTGAGAATACCGATGGGATCAAATTGATTAATCTGCGCACTTGGCAATTCGGATCTTTTTGGGGATGTAAATGTTGGGGTGGACATGCCAATTATGCTGAAGTGAACCCACGGTACCATAATTGTAAGAGGGTTCCACAGAGATTCTTTGTTACCCAGAGACAGTTTTAGATTTGGGAGCTGACTGAGTGAGGTAGGATTTGAATACTTGCCAGAAGAACTGACAAGTTCAGCTTTGTTTTAAGAAATGGATCTTCGACGGTGCCCTTATGGAATGAGACAGACCAGCTGCTTAGTTGAAAATGTCATAAAGCGTCCTTTTTCTACTCCGTTGTTAACAACAGTTGCTATGCAGTGGTCAAGAGGCAGCTTGTTAGAATTCCAGCTGAGTGAAGTTTTCAATGCAAAAGTGTTTTTTTATAACCTGTATCGGGGCATTTTTTGGCTACAGTTTTTTATGAATCTCTTTACCTCAGTTGTATCCATGCAACTGAAATGATTGCTCTAAACAGGCAATTGAGGACAGATTTGTCAAAGAACAACTTGAGGGCAATGTGGATAGTGAATCAAGTTCTTACTTGTAGCTTTCCCACCCAGGTACAATTCCTGCACCTTCGAGCTCTGATACCTTTTTAATTATTACTTTTTTTAATTGAAATTTTCATTCAGTGTTATTTATTACAAGTGATTTTTTGGGGGTGGGGGCAGATTGACTGAAGGCCCGCCCGCCAATGGTGGGGCAGGCGAGGCAGGGGACGTGAGGCAGGCTGGAGCCCACTGGGCGGAGGGAGCGGGCAGGTTGGTAGGGGGTTAGGAGGTCGCAGAGGTAGAGGGGGAGCAAGACCATGGAGGGCTTTGAAAGTGAGAACCAGGATCTTGAACTATATCTTCTGTGTGATGGGAAGCCAGAGGAGTCGGGCGAGGGATGGGGGTGATCGTCACGGAGCCTGGTGCAGGAGAGGACACGGGCTGCAGAATTCTGGATGATCTGCAGCCTATGGAGGGAGGAGTTTGGGGAAGCCGAGGCGCCTACATCGGGTGCAGTTTGAACATCTCATTTTGACCTACGAGTGAGGACTTTTGATTCACCCTGCATAAAGAAACTGATGGACAGAAGCAGAATTTAACTCAAAATGCGTGTGTTTTTTTTTTACAGGGGGTAGGGTAAAACAAGAAACAGAATGAAGAAGTTAAAGAACGAGGGCCCTGAAGAAGATAAAAGATTGTAAAGCAGCAGCCCAGGTCAGATGTTGCGAACGTTGAATTTCACTTCACTGGGAACTTTTCATACCAACATTTATTATCTGTTCATGTAGTGAATTTATAGCTGTGTTTTTTTTCAATCATTGTTCTAAGGTGGGTGCACTGTCCACTGTTCAGTGTGGTTTCACTGTGCCGTGTTGTGCCGTTTGTACCTGACCTCTGCAAAATCACTCGATATTTTGTTTCGCCCACAAAATAAATAATAATAATAATAAACCTTGCATTTGATATAGCGCCCTTATCTCGTCTGAGATGTCTCAAAGCGCTTCACACAATATACTGTAAAGTGTAGTGACTGTGTGTTTTGTGGGCAAAACGCAAAATACAGTCAATCCATTTTATAGTCTATTCTGTGACGCGCTTTGAGACGTCTTGAAGACGTGATATAAGGCACTATATCAAATTCAAGGATTACCAAATTATTTTAGGACCGTCTCTTTCTCAGTGCTCTGTGACCCATTAAATGAAGTGTGTCAGCGACTGGACTTGGGTGCAAAGCAAAAATCAGAATCGGATAAGAAAATATTTTTCATGTTTGTGTGATGCCTCGGCACAGTGTAAACTGGAGCGTGTGTGTCAGACCAGCGAGGGGAGCACTTGTTTTGTGGGTTAAATGTTTATTCCAATGTTACGCAGTTACTACAGTACAGTGCTATGATGCACTCTGTCTCTTTTTGCAAAGTTATACTGTATTAACAAATCACTTTGACGCATATAAGGCACATGGCTTCTGTCTGCAGCTTTTCTGCACATTGTGATCTGTAGTTTGCCTCCCCCAACCCTCCCCCAAAATTAGGAAACCTCTGACTGTATTTTTGATAAGAATACAGTGACTGGCTTTTTAAACCTGTAGCCAATGTGATGTTCACGATTGTACAGTACTTGCGCTATTTGCTGCTATACATCACATGCCTTGTCCAGTTACGTACATCTGTATCATACTTATTATTCTAATGTAATGCTAGTGATTCATAAAAAGTATTGTGCTAAGCTACCATACTGTTAAGAGGAGCGTTGCATTTTTGTTGCCAATCCAGAAAGCAAGGTTTCCAGCAGACTGCTTTATCTTCTCTATTACTTCCAGTTGGTGCTATAGCAATGGAATTTTTCTAATTGCACTTTCATATATAAACCATATTGTAGAATGTGTATTTTAAAATTGACTTGTTTTTTATAGATCTAAAAATTGTTATGTTAGATGTTTTCAATGTTTACTAAATGATTAAGAACACAAAGTGTTTTCTGTATAAGTACTGCAATTGATTGAACAGTTGGATTAAAAAGTACTGTATATTTATTTTTATTGTAAGTATGGTAAAGTACAATAAACTTTTTTTAGAAAAAAATAACGGTTAAGTACGCCTTTGTGACTGCATCTTTATAAAGGTCTGTGCACAGAGCTGCTAGATATAACCTAAGGTTTAACATGGGAATTCTGTTTCAATTTCCATTGTCTGAGCGTTCAGCTTCAATCATCGTTGTTCTGACAACTTACTGGAGAATTTATCGAGTATATTCTGAACATAGCCATATGGTCTTGCACCTAATGGAAATACCATGGATATGAAAGATTTAATCTCTCCTGGTACGAGAATTTACCATTGTAAAGATTTTCTCAGGGGACAGTCAGCATTGCACCAGATGTAATTGGTCATTCACTTAATGGCTGTATTTTTTTTGTTAGCCAGGTGTCTTAACACATGCGGAATCCCAATACTGTGCTTAAGAGTATCCAAACCAGACCGAGAATTCCATGCATCCCACCTACATATGGTAATTCCAGAGATGTTTATTGGAATGGTAGGCGCACTCTGCTTACCTAATTTCAGCGAGCAGGTTGGCAAGAGCTAGGGCTTGGGAGCCACATAGTGTGCTGGGGTAGTGTTGGAGCCTAACCAGCTGAAACCACATAGCTTGCCATTGATATCGTTGTTTGCTAAGCTTTTCTACTGTTTGACCCTCCAGCTCAGACCATCCTACCCGTTGCCTTGCAGGGTTAACAGGAGCTGAGTGGGATAAATCCCTGCTCCCAGTGACTGGTCTGCCCTTCCAAATTGGTTGCATTTGCTCACAAAGCACACAGTCACTGCACTTTACAGTATATCCTGTGAATGTATTTGACATGTTTGACTGACACAATAAGACAGACACTATGAAATGCAAGGATTCTTTTATTATTGCTTTCACCCTTCAATGTGCTACTGTAAAACTGACCTCAGTGCTTGATGCAATTATCTTTTTCTACAATATGTTGTGCTGAGCACCAGTTCAGCTTGAATATGCTTCAATCAAACAGCAGATGGTGGTGTTTTGTGCTTCCTGACACAAACTGAAGTGGTTTCTGAAGCTATTGGTAGCACTGTTCTCAGTAGGTATAACTTCACTTCATTGTGTAAAATTACTGGCTTAAATCTTCAGGGAGCAATTAAGTTACAGCAGAATTATTGTACTATATTTAATACTAACTACAATGTTCTCGCTCAGAACTCAGGTGGACGATATGATATTTTCGAGGCTTCTATGGTATTATTTTCCTCCTCCTCCTCCGCCAGACATAACATTTATATTTAGTCCCGCTCGCTCGCCTTCACCAATTTTAGTTCAAGACAATGAATTGAGATTAAATGAGAGCCAGAGTAGGATACAGTTCTAACGAAGGGTCGTGGACCCGAAACGTTGACTCACTTTCCTTTCTCCATAGATGCTGCCTGACCTGCTGAATGTTCCCAGCAACTTCTGTTTTTGTAGCCAGAATAAGAGATTGTTACATTTGATGGGCCTCTGTTAAATGCCATGATAGCCATGAAGAAGAGATCCTATTTAAGACGACTCACGATACTGTACTGTGGTGCCTTTCACTTCAGAGAACATCTAAAAGCACTTCAATAACTTGCACTTATATAGCGCCCTCCACGCAGGGTAGGCGTCTCAGAATGCTTAACAGTGGCAGAGCCTGACTCCGAGCCGGGTGGGGGAGGTGGCCGTAAACATGGTCGAAGAGGAAGGTTGTCAGGCGGGTCTTGAAAAAAGAGAGCGGGCAAAGCAGAGAAGTTGAGGGAGAGTGTTCCAGAGTTTCGGGGTGTAGTGGCTGAATCTTACTTCATAAGACTTGCTGCAAAGTGTAGGAGCTATGTACTTGTAGGCAAAAGTGGGAGCCAATTTATGCACAGCAATATCCCACAAATAGTGTTGAAGTGAATGCATGACTAATTTGGATTGTTGGACAATGGGAGAAACTCCCTTCTCTTCATACATTGCCGTGGGATCTTTAACGTCTATCTAAACTGGTGAACAGGACCTCAGTTTAACATCTCATCTGAAGGACTACAAAGCAGCACATCTCCAGCACTGCACTGGAGTCTCAATCTAGACTGAGAGTTCAAAGTCCCGATATGTGGCTTGATCCAACAACCTCTATCTCAGGTAAAAGTGCTACCAACTGAGCCATACTGACACACACATACATTATTGTGACTTTCACGCTTTTCTACAACCTGTTCGAATGACACAGAGCAGCATTAAAGTTGCATTTTTTTTGCTGCGTAACTGCCGCACGGACCAGAAGACCACAGCTTCAATTCCTGGCCTTTGCTGAATTGGCTGAGCTCAGTCTGGGAAGAGGTGCAGAAACTAAAATGACATCGGTGGGTTAGAGAGGAGGAAAATCGGACCAGATTCTTGTTCCTAATTGCTATCCAGTGACCATTGATGGAAGGAATGTTTCTGTAAATGTGTGTTGCTCACTGAATGAGGATAAAATCAGGCTCAGCTGTGATAGCCCTAATGATGAAAAAGACTGCTGTTTATTGCTGGCACTGCTCACGCATGAAGAATGCCACTTAGTTAAGGTATCAGAACTGTACCCTGCATTGTGTCAGCACCTTAAGATGAGGGGAATTTTTTTTTGGGGGGGGCCAGAAGAGGGCTGCAAAAATCCATTTCAGAAGATGTGGGTATGAACCTACTTGAGAGTGAGAGAGCCCTAAGTTTCAGGAATGGTGGTGTCACTTTTGCATTGGCTGATTTGATTTTAAAATAAGCCTGACCATGCAATCTATACCAAAGGATATTAAGAGAAATAGAAATTTCACATATGTTTGAGACAGGAGACCAGAGAATATTAAATGTGATGATAGGACTTTTAAAAAGCCCTACCCTGAAATCCCTAATGAGAACAATAACAATAAGGTACTCCCTGAGGGTTTGGGATGTTACTTAATATTGCCAGGAGACATGTTATTGTTCCCATGAGATCACTTTTGTAACCTGAGAAGCAATATTTGTAATAAGACCCTGAAGAAACACAATTGTTTCAAATTGTACATCAAATTAAATGCATTCACATATATATTAAAATTTAATTATTAATGTTACATTATAATATATATATTAAAAAATCTCTGTTTTTAAAAAAAACACAAGCTCACAGCAGCATTGGACTAAGTAAGTAAGGTGCAATGTTTCAGGTGTGACTCTTCACACACTGTACTGAGGAAGGTTCTCGCCTGTGAATGTCTCATTCAGAGGCTGACTGAGCTGCTGTCCATTCCCAGCCCATTCATCACTCAGATTCCAGTCATTGTCATATATTTGTAAACATAAATGAGTTTCTATCTCCTGGTGAACTGTTCAACAATCAGAGTTCTGAATGACCTGCAGTTTGTGGAGGGAAGTGCCGGGAAGGCCGGCGAGGAGAGAGCTCCCATAGTCCAGCCTTGAGGTGATGGAAGGCAGTGCCAGTTGTGGCGCGGATATGAGGAAGAAAGGACAGCTCAGGGTCGAACAGAACGCCGAGGTTCCTGACTGGCTTTGAGAGGTGGAGAGTGCAGCCTTGGATGCTGATGCTGTCAGCGCCTGAAGATCGAAATGGTGAAGGCACAGCCAGTCACAGATTCCCAACGGAGGGCTGTGAGTGAGCCGTGATGTTGCTGGGTGTAATGCAAATTATGATAATAATAATAATAATAATCCTTGCATTTGAAATTGAAACTTTAAACCTAGACCGCTTCCTTCCCGAGCACAACACATGTATCATTTAATTAAACCCGCTTTGGAGATCTTTCCTTGATAAAGATAAAGAAAGAAATTGTAGTATTAGCACCTCTGACACCAGAATATCACACAACACCTGAACCATCTGACAAACTGAACCATCTGACAACATTGAACCATCTCAAAATACTGAACCAGCTCACAACACTGAACCATTTCATAACAATTCACAGTAAT